AAAAAAAAAAAAAAAAAAAAAAAAAAAAAAAAAAACACATCATAGTAAAACCAATACCTTCTCAGCTTCGCATCGAAGCTAATACAAAAATCTAACACAAATATGCGTGAAGCAATACCAGTACAAGAAAGATTGGCTGTAGCTCTACAATTTTTTACTTCAGGAGACAGTTTTCAAAGTCTGTCATACTTATTCAAATTTTCAGATGAACCAAGTTGTCATGGTTTTAACAATTTTAACAATTATAAACAATTTAAAAGAAAATACAAAAAAAAATGTAAAAATATGTTACCGTAAAATTACACGAAGGTTTTACTGAACTTCACCAAACAATTGAACAGCAACCATTTCAAAATAGAGTTTTGATAGCGAAATGCATTCAATTTATACCATTAATACACTTATCTACTTTTTTTAGTAATTTGGCATTTCCAGTAGTATTTCCATTTACTACCTATATTCATTTTTCGCTTTCTTATTAAGATTACTCACAGGTGATACTTACTAATATAAACGTCAAGAGTTATCACTTTACTTAATTTCTATAAGTTTGTTTGTTTGGAACTATATCATTTTTATACTTCAAATAATGAATTGTTCAATAGGGACATATTTAAAAGAAAAAAGCCATTTAAAAATATACCATAGCAGCAAAGATTCTGTGTCAGTATGTTTGAAAAGTATTAATAATTTTCAATGTAATGAAAAAGAATTATTATGTCAAAAGGTACATCAAAATATTACCAACATATGTGAGTACCACATTAAAAAATATTTGACGAAATAACATCACATATTTGGACGAAAATGTTGTGATCCATTAGGAGTTCATAAACGCACTATAAAAAAAAGTTTAAAACATTTTTCTAAAATAAAAAAAAATGTTTCTGTTATTCCTGGTAAGTCTGTATGTCGTAACTGCTACAGCAATATTTTTGAAAAGGTTAAAGTAGAAAATTACCTGTAGAAATGTTATCTGATTCACTAAATCAAAGTTTCAATGACGATTTATTTATCTCGGAAGAAGAAATAATTAATAAAGTGACTCGGTCTTTAATATATTTAATATGTTACCTTTATTTAAATTTAATAAATTAAATTCTACTCATATTCCTAGTGCAATTCATAAAAGGTTATTATTTTGCAATTTAAATGAATTATATGTAAAATTTAAATTAGTGAATCTAAATTTGAAAATTGGTAGATCTAAATTTTGTGCACTTAAACATAAGTGGTGTATATTGGCTGGATCTTCAGGCACACATAATGTGTGTGTCTGTGTTCACCATCAAAATGAAAAGCTTATGGTTGAAGGAGCTGGGTTAGAAGCTGGTTATAAATACTATCTAAATTGTTTAGTTTGTAATATTGAAAATTATAGTTGTATGTTGGGAGAATGCGTTATATGTTTGAATTGGGGTGACAGTTTAAAAAAATGCTTTCTGAAAAATTAGATGATGGTCAAGAAAATATTATACATACACAATGGGTTAGTACAGACAGACCTGATTTAGTATCTAATATTTTACCTGTTGATGATTTTATTGATTCATTAAGTGAAAAATTGTGTAATTTACAGAATCATCATTATACATCAAAAATTTAAGCAAGATAATTCTAAAGAAAATTTATCAACTACAATTTGCATAATTATTGCTAATTTTTCGGAAAATTAGTTTTATCATACAGGATAAAATACAAAATTATCATTGGGCTAATAAACAGGCTACCCCCATCCTTTTGTTTATTATTATAAAGCTGATAATGAAATTAAATACAAATGCTTATGTGTTATAAGTGACCACTTTGAACATAATACGGTAGCAGTACACGCATTTCAAAAATATTTGATAAGTGATTTAAAGACAATATGTCCTTTAACAAAAAAAATTATATATTTTAGTGACGGTGCCCAGGCACGTAGCCAGAAAATGTTTATTGGGGGGGCCAACAATTTTGGGCCCTTGTATCAATTTCCATAATTTGTTTCCCATGAAAAGCTTGTGGGGGGGGCTCCCTCCACTCCTCTTTAGACAGTATCCCATTCTATGAATCTTACAAGTTCAAAATTTGTGTTTATTTTTAAAAAAATGGTGGATTAATCCAAAAGTTACATGATCTGCTATTTCCTTATTAATATCTTGATTAAAATAAAGAATGAAAAAGGGATTATTAAAAAATAATATTTCTCATAAAAAAATTGTGCTTATCCATACATTTTTCAAAAAGTTATAGCATTATAAAGTTAAAAATATAAAAAATAATTTTTTTACAAAAATCGTATTTTTTTCAGTGTTACCGTCTCAAAAACCGTACGTCTCATTAGTCACTTAATAAAAATGGAAATTTAGCTAGTTCAAATTTTAAAGTTATTTTTATCGCCTTCAAAGAAACAAAAGTCGCGCTATAGTGGGGATGTTGCCTAGTTAGGTCCATTATTGATTTAATCTGACAGTGATTAAAATCCCTATCATAAGAAACGCTTCGATACAAATCTTTAGATAGTGTTTAATTCTAAAAAATTGATGAACAAAAGCAACATCAACTTCTATTTCCTTAATTATACCCAGATTAGTTTTTCTTTTAATTATATATTATATAATTTTTAAAATTAATTGTATTCAAATTATTATTGATTTTGATTTTTAATAGGTTAAAAGTAATCATTTTGAACGTACTTTTTTTTGTCCTTTAAAGTGAAAGTTTTAATAGAACAATATTCATGAAAGTCAGTATATTCCCCTAATAAGATATTTTAAAATAAAATAAAATACAAAACCCAGAATTGTATTACAAAAATAGCATATTTTTGAATATGGTACCCTTTTGTGCATAGAAGATAGGTCGTCGGGACAATTTTTTTTTTTTAATTTTATAGTCCATGACATAAACTTTAATTTGACATATGTTTAAAGGACGCAGTATTTCTGGAACATTTCCAAAAGTTAAGTTAAAAAAATTAGTTTTTGTAAAAAAGTTGCTATTTTAAATCCCCCCTGTAAGCAAAATAAATGTTAGATTTTCAAAAAAAATGATATCAAATGAAAGGGAAATATCTAAGGTTTTAGTATAAAAAAAAATTATGTTGATTTGTTTATTTTTGAAAAAGTAATGGAAGTTTTAAGAAAAAAAAGTGAAAAAATGACAAAATTTACCGATATTTAAATTTGTAATTTTTTGGATATTTCCCCGATTTGCGGGGAAAGAGGAAATTTTTTTCAATTTTTTATCGTTTTCTATGATTATAAAAATGAAAATACAGCCATAATAATAACTGTATTACTCAATAGTAATCACAAATTAATAATAATTTCAATGTATATAAGGCCTAGCCGTTTTTTATAATTCGTAAAAATAATTGAATTTTATATTTGGGGGGGCCGGCCATGGGCCACATTAAATCTAAGGGGGGCCAGGCCCACCCAGGCCCACCCTTGTCTACGTGCCTGACGGTGCCGGCAATCAATATAAAAATAAAAAAAAATGTATGAATATAAGCTATCATAGTGAAGATTTTGGAATTGAAGCTGAGTGGGATTTTTTTGCATCCTGCCACGGAAAAAATGCATGTGATGGTGTTGGTGGCACAACAAAAAGACAAGTTACTAAGCATAGTTTACAGAGTGTGCGTGAAAATCATATATTAACTCCAGAAACAATGTACAATTTTTGTGTTGGAATTGTAACAGGAATAAAATATTTTTTCGTTCCTACAAGTGAAGTTAAAACGAAGATTTGAAAATGCTAAAACAATTCCAGGCACGAGGCAAATACATAGAATAGTACCTTTGAAAAAAAATTTGATAAGGTGTTATATAACATCATCTTCCGCTCAATATAATTTATGATTTAATTTTCTGTCCCACCGGATAAAAACTAAGTTAAAGTTCCCTAAAAATCGTTATTTTAGAAATTTGAACTTTTTTATACTTGTGTTACCAAAAAAAGACCAAAGTAAAAAACTTCAAAACACAATTAAATTATAATACTGAATAATGTTAATATGATGTAAAAAAATTGTATTTCATCGTTTTTTTATTTTGAAAATGTCATTTTTTTACAAAAATAAAAAAAAAACCTTTTTTAAAATTACTTAAAAAATAATTAAAAATTAAAAAATCCTATTGTTAATTACTAGACATGTTAGAAGACCTGGTAATGAAAAAGTGATGACATTTTCAAGTCTTTAGTATAAATACATAGGTTTCAGGGATATTTTTACGAAATACCGGTATTTTGCAATTTCAAAATTTTGACAGGTCATAAAACTACTTTCACTTAAAAAAATTTTTTTATTTAAATACTAAGCAACTCATGTGAGAAATTTAAAAAAAATTTAAAATGGTCGCACGACCACTCAGGATGATTTGGTATGGATTGACCCATATAATTGTAGATAAAATTCCAGTCTACCGTAAGAGGCCACAGTATAACTAAACATTTATTAATACTGCTATCTGGTAGTTGCAAATTTAAGCTATCAAACTGAATTCTCTACGAATTCACGTGCCCCATCCTTGTATTATCGAGAATACACAAAAAAGTATTTTTAATGATAAAATATGCAAACAATTGATTTTGACATCTAAAAACTTTTTACAGACTTCCTCTGAAATAATTTTGGATTCACCCCTGTATTAAATATTACAGGAGCGTAATTAAAGAGTCTATTTAACCAAAATTACGTAACACTAACTTATTAAAAAATAAAACCAAAATTACTTCTTAAATTATCTAGTTGAGTTAAAACATTAAAATAACTAAATTTCCAACATTTTAATTTGTTAGTGTGCGGCTTTGAAATAAAGTAAAACAAATGTTTCATAAAATTACGATAAAAAGTGCAAAAAGATTATGTTGTTTAATAAAATTTTAAATTTAAATAGATTTTTTATTTTGGCCGGTTAATATATTAAAATCATGACAACCCTACTATTTTACTCTTAAATATTTCAGTACAGTAATATTGGTAAAAATGATTTTTGATAGAAATGATAAATATCGTGGACACTGTAAAAGGTAGGTCCATTAATGAATCTACTGTAATGAACCCCCTAAATAGTTTTAAGCATTATTTCGCTATGTATTAACAGAGCATCATTAATAATATGTTTATTGAGACCGGCTAAAAGAAATGTGTTAATTGAACGCTTTTCAAATTAACAATATTGGAAAGCTGCCCGGCCGTAACTATTGTGAACCAGATCATCGTTAGTCGTTGGACTACCGTATTTAAACCATTTATTGTTGAAGTACTTTATCTAATAAACAGGTTTAGTATTATATCAAGTGTTCATGGTATCTTAGTGTTTTTTGTTACAAACGTAACACTACCTTGGAACTATATTTTTCGAAATTGATTTAATGCACAGATGATTTTTCATTTGATAGAATACCGAAATTGTAATACAGGAAAATACTACCTTGGATAATTGTTATCAATGAATAAACTTAAGATTATATATTTGAAAAAAAACTTGTTGGAAAAAAGTGTTGGAAATTATAAAATTGATACTATATCTCGGATATTTGGATAATTTAATAAATAAAACCACAAATATTTTTTGTAACTTTCTTTTTTAAACACGTGTATAAGCTTAGAACTATAATAATATCATAAAAAAAACTACATTTCTAGTCATTATAACCTTTTTTTTTTGTCTCATTTGTTTTCTTAAATAGAAATTCAAAGTAAAAAAAATATATTATATAATAATATATATATATTATTGTCATTAAAGAGCTCTAACTCAAAAACTAATTGTACTGGAAAATGTTTAAAAAGATATGAACTTAAAGGAAAATTAAATTCAATAAAATGATTCTTATCAGAGCCATATTTAGAGATTAGTTCGGAGGAGAAAAAGCTCCTCAAAAATTTTTAGAAGTGAATATAAATATTAAGGAGTAAAAACTACAAAATTGTCAACATATGGTTGATCAAAAAAAATTATTATTATTCTCATATTGGTTATGATTTATATAACACTTATGTTCTTAATTTTTATTTTAACATCATCATCAAAATCAATGAAAGCTTGAAAAAAAGGCCGTTTTTTTATTTAGTTCATCAATATTATTCCAGAGTAATTCTGGACAAAATTTGGGGGCACCAAAATTCATGTAACCACCCAAAATCTTAAATACAGCCTTAATCCAATTCACCATAAAAATTTTTGATGCTTAAGTTGTTTTATTTCATTGATTCTCTTTATTTTGATTATTAAGAATTTGAAAACGTACTGGATGGCAAAATATAGAAGACGTGTAGACGGTCAATCCCCCATAACAATAATAATTATTATAGATGTTAAAGAATATGAAATAAAGGGAATAGATAATTACTTTTTAAAAATTAAACATTTTTTTTATGTTATATTTAAAAACTTTCAGATATTAAAATAAAAGAAAGTTCTTTCAATAAGTAATATAATATTTTTTATTTTAAAGCCATGCAAAATTACAATAGTTTATCAACAAAAGAAATAAAAGTTATACTTTCAAAATTAAGGAATAAACTTATGAATAACTAAATTTATCCAATAACACACAAAGAAACATTAAATTCTATGTAAATATCATTCAGTCTTATTACTTGTAGTCTTTTAATTTTCAATTGACTTGACACTAATTCTTACTAAATCTGACCGTCCAATATTTATCATTGATTTTTCCCATTGATTAATTGCAGTTAAATATTTTTCATTTTCAACAGAAGCAGCTGTTACATATTTTTGTTTACTATCGTTATTCATTTCTCGCCATTCTTTACCTACTTTTTTCATGAAATCTTGAATAGATAAATTTCCACGTTCCTCATTACGTTCAACTAAATATAATAAATATGCTGTAAGAGGTTTTCGTGGTTTACCCAATTCTTTCAATTCCTATAATATTTATTAGTTTATAATTTAATTGTGATATTGAATGTCAAAGTTCATAATAAATTACTTTTTTCATTTTGCGTTTCATTTTCGATTCTATTTCATCATATTGAGCTCTCATTATTTCATCCTTTTGTTCTTTAGTAAGGTTTTTCTTATAAGACTCAATGTCTTGTTTATACTGTTCAAGTTCTTTACGATAAATTTCATTCATTTCGTTTTTAGAGTCTACATCAACATCTTTCCATAGTTTACTTGCTTCTTGAGCAACATCTGAAATTCAAATAATGAAATTATCATCTTTTATTAATAAGATCACTAATTCGGGTGGCCCTTAGCTATATAGAGTAATCGATTAAAGGTAAAAACTTATTTATTTAAATAATAAAATATTGAACATTTTCGTAAAAAAAAAATGTTTGATTCAAAAAACTCTACTATATAATGTACTTAATATTTTTTTCATCCTTTCAGGTAAAAAAACGAAAACTTCAATTTTGGTTTGATTATATGGTAGAAAAAAAAATTTGTAAGAAATTTTGTTCTTATATTTTTTATTCGATGAACATTTTGTTATTACTTGTTAAAGTTTAGTGAATTTTGACCAATATTCTGTGGATAATTTGCTGTTTAGCATACAGTTAGTTGTTTTTTCTTCATGATGTTACATAAATCAGTTTTTATTTTTAATTCCTGTTATCATATTTGTTACTTACGATAGCAAAAATAAATACTGATAACAATTCATGAAACATTGACACATATTATTGTTGCATCCAATATTATGAAAACCAAATTAATAATGAATTTATTTTATAATTCAACATATTTAATCTGTTTTAAAACTCAAAATTTATTGGATAAAAAAAATTATAAAAACAAAATTATTTTATATAATTAAACCAAAAAAAAAGGGTTTTCCATTTAAGAAAATCAAGTTTAGGTTTTTTATCTCTAAATGAAAGAAAAAATTATTAAAATACATAATATTGTTGTATTTTGAATCAAACAAAATGTACAGAAATTGAAAATATCTAATAGTTTCAGAGAAAATCAGCGTTTTTAACCTTAATCGAATGCTATGTAGAATAAGACATTAATTATTCAAAATTCAATCTTCTTACCCCCTGAAATTATTATACTGTAAAAAAATATGATCTTCAGAATTTAGTCAAAATTTATAAACCCTTACACGTTCTACTAGAATTTAAAAAATTGAATTAATAATTTGTGACATGCGCAGTTAAAATTATGTGATAATTCTAAATTGATTATTAAAGAATTTCTAATTTTGCAAAAGATAGAATTTAAAGTTAAAAAAAACAATATTGCATATTAAAACTTGAAAAATTGTATGTATGATACTTTAAGGCAACTGCAAAACGGCAACGGACTAACCAACCGTCCCGGAATATCAATGGTTTAGAAACTTCCTCCTTTGGGGGAGGCCACTATGGCCCTAAATGGGCTTATTAAGCATTAAAAAAAAAAAAAAAGCCACTTGCAAAAAACTATCAATAAGTTTAACTAAAGTACAACTGAAATTTAATGAAGAGCTATATAACTTATTTGATATAATCTACTTATTCAAAGTGAAAATGGTAATCCAGGCATTTACTGGGCACTAATGGTAAATTATTTCAAAAAAAAAAATTAAAGAATTTAAAATCATGCTTATTCCGAGATGAAAAAAATCGTAAGTTGAAGCATAAATATTTTTTATCTTAAGAGCTAGGGTTTTTAATAATTATTTTTTATTTAGATAAAACCATGTAATTTATGTCATTCACTAGTGAAAGTTTACTTGATAAGGTTTATAATATTAATTATAACACCCGTCAAAATACAGACAAGAGGTAATTTCATTTTTAACTAATAATCTATAAACTACTCTAGATAAATGTAAGCTAATTGAAGTTAAACTTAATTTGATTGAAATAGGATTTGATAAACGTAGATTCAAATATTTTTGACAGTGGTACAACTGATAGGCATGTTAATTTTACACTGACAGATAAGCACAATAAAATTTTTGTGTTTAAACATTAAATATACAACTATGTCGAGATAACTTTAAAGAATCTTTCAGCTTACAATAATATTTTTAGGCATTAAACGCCTAAAGAGTTTAACCTTTCATCAGTATTCTGATGCTTTTAGTTATGAAATGTGGATGTCTAAAGACATTTATTTACTAAAATGTATTTATTTAGAAAATAATGTAAATTTAAGCTTTAAGAGTTATTTGTATATTTTTAGTTAGAATATACATACAGACGTAGTTCAAAGGATTTAATGCTATTGAATCTCCTAATAGTCTATATGTAATAAAATTGCTAATTGTTTATCAAGATGCTATTATTTTAAAAGCTAATACATTAAAATGTTGTGGTAATTTATGATATGTATAACTAGAAAATGTTGTATTGTCTTCTTTTGAAGACCGAAATTTATCAGATGTAAAAATAAAAATGTCCTTAGGAACTAAAGAACTAGAAGACGCAAATTAAAAAAAAATATATAATACATTGAGTTAATATAAAACAAAGAGATTTATGATTTTATATCATTATAAACACTTAACTTATTTTACAGATTTCAAATAAAATATAATCTTTTAAACTTCATCCAGTTAGTTGGCATAAAAATGAAAAATACTAAAACAGCAAAACTAGTTTATCAAACTTATTCAAGACTATAACAATATATTGATAAAGGATGAAAGTCTTTTCAAACAAATTGTCAGTGATTATAGAAAGAAAAACGCAGATTTTTATTATATTTTATAAGATAACTTATTATAGTCACTTAAAAATAACTAAATTGATGATAATAAATAGTTTATGTTTAATAATAGAAATCCATGTTTAATACAACACAGAATAATTGTTTAATTAATGAAATTATTTTAATCAATACTAATTCATTATTTTAACATTAAGTACCAACCTTTTAACTTCATGTTATCATTTGACATCATATTTATTCGTTTTTCTTGTAAAAATTTAAAAAAGGGTGGATTAGGTTTTTTAGGTTTGAGTGGTAATCCTAATTTTCCTTCTCTTGATTTCTGAGCATATCCAGCATTTGATCCAATAACAAATGAGTTTGTACACCTTAATATTCATTTAAAATAATTTATAATCACATTTAACATTGAAGAGATTAAATTAATATTTATTTGTTTTGAGCTTTAAATAAAGTACCTATTTATAAATGAATTTGAATTGACAAAACGCCAGTTACTAGCAAGGAATTGTTTAATACCCATTGTTTAATCGTTTATAGATCTATCTTGATCTCGAAATTTACACAATAACGTTTTACTTAGAAATAAATGTCAACATGTTTTAAAAAGTATATTAGTAGTAATCATTGCGCGTTAACGCTTTCTATATACATAACTTATCACTTTTATGTTATCATAGACAATTCATTGGTTATACAGTTGACAAGAAACAGTCATAAAAGCGGGAAAATATTCTGTAAAAATTATTCTTTGTCAGTAAATTTTACATTGAATGTTTCTCAAATTTGAATAAAATTTATGTTCCTATAAGAGCATTACTAGGTCATACATGGCCCTCCCTTTTATCTAGACTAAATCAAATCACCTATAAACAAAATAAGTAGTTAATGTATTATTGACCAAAAATAGTTAAATTTAGTAAAATTTTCATATTATGATAGTGGGAAATTATGCCTATTTTTTTAATATTTAAATTATAAATATTTGAAAGTAAAGTTGTTTATTATTTATATTCTTTTTGTGTTTATAAATAAATAATAGTATACAGGTGTACTAAATATGCATTAGATTTAAACACTTGAATAGATTTTAGTACGCATATGTTGACTATATTAACCTTTTATTGTAAGTGAAATACATAAAATGATATGCTATATTGTAAAAATTTAAATGATCAGGTTCAAGAAATTTACTTGAAATTCTATAGAAAACTTCAACTTAAATAAAAATCATATCCAAATCTACTTATACAGATGCATATTTAAGATTATTTTGTTGTACTATAATAAATATCATTTAGATGACTTATCTATAGAATCCCTACCATAAATGCGGTTATGTTATAAATATTTTTTCATTATACATATTATTATAGTATTTGGTATGCAAATATTTTGATTTAGAATGCTGTTAAATGTAATTTTATGTACGATTTGATTTACTTTTTTTTCTTTACTTAAGTAAAAAGTTTTATCCTTTCTTAATAGTAATTAATTCTAAAGCATTTGAATGGAATATATCGAACACATTGTAAAGCTTTTCATTACATTTATTTTATGTCTCAAGGTGTTTATGATAACATTTAAATTTATAAAATACTATTAAGAAATTTAATTATACAACTGTATAGAAATAGGCTGCATGTAATTTATGGGTTATTTACGGTAATTACTTCTATAATAACGTTGTCATTTAAAAACAACTAAATTCATGATATTCAATAGTCGATATCTAATAATAGAAATTGGATTAAAACTAAAAAACATCCTTAAATTTTTTTACCAAGTTCGATGTATCAAAAAAAGACTTGTAGAATTTTTAAGCATATCTTTAAAAAACGATAATTTTTGTTTAAAATTAAATTTTTTTACTTCGATGCGAAGCTGAGAAGGTATTGGTTTTACTATGATGTGTTTTTATATTTATTTTAACTTCGATACTTTTTTTTTAAATCGGACCATTTCCTTAAATACGGGGGGGGGGTCAAATCTGAAAAATGCATATAGAAAGTAGAACTTTTTCAACTTAACTTTTGAAAGTGTTCTGGAAGGTCTGACACTTTTATATATATATATATCTTAAATTAAAGCTAATGTAATATACTATATTATGGAAAAAAAAATTGCAGACTTTATTTTGTCTTCACAGTGAAAACAGACATCAAAGTTAATAAAAATAAAACCTAGCACATGTGTCGCGGCATAGTTGGGTCAAATGTAATGATATCTGACAGTGATTAAAATCACTATCATAAAAAACTCTTCGATGCAAATCTTTAGATAGTGTTTAATTTTAAAAAATTGGTGGATTACTCCACGATTTAATTATAAAATTTACATTGTATGTTATGCAATAATGTTAAAGTTTTTTTTGTTGTATATTGTTACATACGACGGTAGCTGTTTAACCGTTTGAATAGATAAAGAGCACATCTTCGTTACAATTCTCTAAAATTATTCAATAAGTTTTGGGCCAAAAACTATTCGAATAGCAAAAATATTCGATAGTTACACAATATATTCGAATAGTTTTTTAAATATTCGATGGTCTATGCTAAAAATAAACTATTCGGTTGTATAAACACAATTCGAATAGTTAATCCATAGTTTAAAATATTTGAAAATCCCCATCACTAATTTTTACTATTATTATTATTAATATTCGTAAAAAATCGGATACGAATAGTAAGAGAGGTATTTTATTGGATATCCTGAGAATACAAAAGGTTATCGTGTTAATTTTCTCGATGAAAATAATAGAAATGTAATTTTTAAAGATAAGGATAAATTTTATACATGTTCATTTAATAATAATGTTTATGATGGTGTTATGATTCAAGACGCGATTACTGATAATGATTTGTTGAATGATATGGTCGATAATGATGTTATGTTAGCAGGTGGTACTGAAGTAGATAAGGAACAAGATATTATCAACAATCAAAATGATAATATGAACAACGGCTCAAATAATCAATGTATTGAACCTGAGGATGCAGTTGAAATACGACAATTACGAAGTCGGAATAATATTAATAAATCTTTGCATTATGCAAATTTTGTTTCTGACTTTATTGACCCTCAGTCATATGATGAAGCAATTAAATCACTATGCGCTAAAAAGTGGAAAGAAGCAATGGAAGAAGAATTACATTCATTACACAAGAATAATACTTGGATTCAAGTCGACATAAGTAAAGCAAATGTAAAATCAATTTTAAACAATCGTTGGGTATACAGAACAAAATACAAGCCATTTAAAGTGCGTCTTGTTGTTCAAGGTTGTAGTCAAAAATATAAAATTGACTATGATGAAATTTTTAGTCCTGTTAAATATGATTCTATACGTATGATGTTATCAATTGCAGCAAGAGAAAATTTAATATTTCTACTGCATTTCTTTATGGAGATTTGGATGAAAGTTTCTTTATATTTCAACCAAGGGTTTTAATGATGGAACTGACAAAATATATAAGTTAAATTGTAGTATCTGTGCTCTTAAACAAGCCTCGCTCTGTTGGAATTTAAAATTTAAATCAGTATTGCTGATGTTCAGTTCGAAAGTAAGTAAGGCTAATCCATGTGTATTTATTAACATTAATGACAATGTAAAACTATTATTGTCCATATATATTGATGATGGTATTATAGCTGCAAATGAATTAAATGTTGCACAAAGTTTATTATGTTTATTAAAACAGGAATTTAATGTTAAAGATAGCTATGTTAATCAATTTCTTGCTATGGAAGTAAAAATATCAGATGATGGATCAATTTTTATTCATCAGTCTGCTTATGCAAAATGAATAGTTGAAAAATTCAATATGGAAGAAGCAAATGAAGTATGCGTACCGGCTGATCAGCATCAAAATCTTAATTCAATCTTTCACTCAAGTAATATTGCCAATAAAATTAATGTATCCTATAGAGAAGCAGTGGGAAGTATTTTGTATTTGTCTCAAGTATCTAGACTTGACATTGCATATTCTGTTAACCTAGTCAGTAGATATCTAGATAACTATAAAAAAATTCATTGGAACTCTGTAAAAAGAATAATCAAATATGTGAAGGGAACAATTGGATATGGTTTGTTATATCTAAGTAAATGTAATTTAATTTTAAATGGTTATTGTGATACAGATTTTGCTGGTTGTGTGGAAGCAAGACGCTCTACAACTGGTGTTATATTTAATCTTAGTTCAGCTGCTATATCTTGGAAGTCACAGAAGCAAGCAACAGTTTCTCTTTCGACAACAGAAGCAGAATATGTGGCTGCTAGCATCGCTGTTAAAGATCTATTATAGTTAAGAACATTATTTAATGAACTATGTACTGTCTAAAGTAAATCCGTATTATATATTGATAATCAAAGTGCAATTAAACTAATGAAAAATCATGAATTTCTTAAATGCACCAAATATATAAACGTCAAATATCATTTTATTAGAGAAAAATTGGAAAAATAAATATTGTTGAATTTATTAATACAAAAGAACAAATTGGCGATATCCTTACCTAACCTTCATCTAAAGACATTTTTGAAACATTAAGACTGAAAATGGGTATTACACAATGTTAATAATAATAACTTTTTTATTTATAATATATGTATTTTTATTATTTTTTTATTAATGATCACTTGTAATTTGTGGGAATAAATATTATGTTTCTAAATTGATTTAAAAGATGTTTGTTGTTATGTTTATATTTCTTGTTGATGTATATTTTTTTAACAAGGTAATTTTAAGTGGAAATGTTGAAAACTATAAAATTTACATTGTATGTTATGCAACACTGTTAAAGTTTTGTTTGTTGTATATTGTTACATATGATGGTAGCTGTTATTCACTTACCTGCCTAGTATACTTGTCTATGCTTACCTGTTTGAATTAATGAAGAGCACACCTATGTTACAATTCTCTAAAATTGTTCAATAAGTTCAATTTTTAACCATCTTGTGGCACATGTTAAACAAACATAAATTAACATTTAAATATAAATAGATATAATAATACACACGCATGCATATATAATTATTATATATATATATATACAATCAAACTTGAAAATTATTTGAAATATTGAAGATATTTGACGGGAAAAAAATAGTAAAATATAATTTTTTTGAGTTATCATTCGATAAGTATCAACTAATTGGATAATTGGTCAACTTTTTTTGGAATAAGCCATCTTTAATTTCGTTTTATTGAGTTAACTGATGCTTAAGAGATAAATTTTGAAGTGGTCTATTTTATTATTGGTGGCTAACTCACGCTTATTTTATAGTATTGTAAAATGTAATAAAAAAAGTTAAAAAGAATATTCTGAACTTAGAGGATATTCTCAAAAAAATTATTATTAAAATTTTATTTTATTAGTAGAACGGCACTTTTGGCCTACCTCGAGTAATTTGGGATTAAGGTGAGAAATAAAAAATAGTATAGCACTTAAAACTTCTTTCTATGTCAATCAAATATACGGTAAGCCAAAATATGTTTTTATTTTGTATTATTTATCAAAACTATAGTTTCAGTTTTATAACTATTTATTACAAACTTATTTTTTGTTATCACATGATATTTATGACTGGAACAAATCTCTTACAGTTGGCAGATAATAAAATTACTCTCTCTCACGTGGGTACATCTTTTTTTATTTTCTTTATGTAGACTGATGACCTACCTTCGATTTCTCTGTTGAGAAGGTATGTGTTCAATGTTATGGGTCAATGTTACAGGCTCCAATGTTTAGTAATAGGTGAATGAGACTTGTCCGGTAATTCTCCAAATAAAACACCCGTGTAGTATTAGCTGTGGAGTGGGTAATTGGTGCCTTTTACATAAGAACTATACATGAAATAGAAATCTCAACTATCAATCCTTCCAAATTGAAGTTTGTGAAAGTTTTTTAAGGTCTATAATCGTGTCCTGAGTAATGTTTCGAATTCTTAACGTAGCGGCTTTCAAATAATTTTTAAATTGTTTATTTTTGCGACTAATATTAATATTTATTTTTTGATTATTATTTTCATTATTATCAAAAATGTCTTTAAATGAGTTTTTATCAATACTTATTATTAGTTAAAGTAATTAAAATATCCAAGTTGTATAATTAATAGTTTATATTTTGCATTTGTAATGGCTTTAACTACTGAAAACAAAGAAGTGATCATTATTAAAACGCAAAAAAAAGATGTGTCTTATGTTATCAAATCCTTATTAGCTGGAGGTATGCTTTTAACAAGTCATAATTAATTATGGATAAAATATATTATTGTATCACATTTTAATTTGAATTCAGGTGTTGCTGGTATGTGTTCAAAAACTACAGTAGCCCCCTTAGATCGTATAAAAATCTTACTACAAGCACATAACAAGCATTATGCTAGATTCGGTAATAATTATATTTTATATATTATCAATGTTAGTGAGTTATTTTTGTAAAAAGAAGAACCTTGTCTATAATTTAGAAATTTACGTTAGTTTTAAATTTGCATTTTTAATTTAAATTTAAATTTAAAAAATCTAATGTTTTTTTGTAATCTATTTTTTAAATACTCAAATTTTCCTTGTAGTTAATTTTTATTTTACAGTATTTTCAAATAATATTTTTATTCATTATTTATATTATATCTACATTTCATTTGTAAATATTACAAATGAAATATAGATTGAAGTGAATGTACAAATGAAATATTTATCTTATAAATATGTTTTGTGTATTTTTGTTTATCTTATATTTAATTTAGTTTAAGGAAAAATATTAGTAACATCTTAAAAATAATTAAAAATCTATGATTTAATATTATAGTACCTACTCATTTTTTTATCTAGGAGTGTTCAGTGGTCTAGCAGAAATTGTTAAACGTGAAAGTTTTGTAGCTTTGTATAAGGGAAACGGAGCTCAAATGGTTAGAGTATTTCCTTATGCTGCTATTCAATTTACATCTTTTGAATTCTACAAAACAGTAAGATTTGGAATTTTAATTAATAATGTTTATGAAATTATAATTAATTAAATGACAGTTATCAAGTTCATTACTTGGCAATGGATCACATTTTGGGAAGTTTATAGCTGGTTCATCAGCTGGTGTTACAGCAGTTACCTTAACTTATCCCCTCGATACAATAAGAGCTCGACTAGCATTTCAAGTAACTGGGGAACATGTATATAATGGAATTATACATACAGCAAAATCAATTGTTCAAAATGTAATTAAATATTCCTGATTTAGAATTATTTAGCTTTATTTTAATCATGCTTTAATATAAATAATGTGTTGTTTAATCATCTACTTAATGTATCAAGAATCATGCATTTAATTCATGATTAAGTATTTATTTGTTTATGCTAATTACTCACTTAATTGAATAATTATAATGTAATAACTAATGAAGTTATGACATTCATTTATTCAAGCAATAGTAACTTAAGAGAGGATGATAAATATAAATGTTTTATTTATACTTTTATTTTAACATATAATATTTATCAATTTTTTTTACCAATTATACATTTGATAAAACAATTATTTTAGGAAGGTGGAATTTTGGCTCTGTATCGAGGATTTGTTCCTACATTGTGTGGTATGGTGCCATATGCAGGAATTACATTCTTTTGCTTTGAAACTATCAAAAAGTTTTTCTTAAAAACTTTTCCAGTATTATTTAGCAAACAATCTAGTAAAGATTCTGGTAAGATATGTTCATTATTGTTATTGCGTGAAAAATTTAAATAATAAGAAGTTTGACTTATAAGTTATTTAAAAATATGTTTACTCGTTTTGGTGTTACTGAATTTAAATTTGTATTCATTTTTCAAACCCTCGGAGAAAGTGTTTTTTAGACTTTTTGTTGTAAATTAATATATATGTTCATAAAGAATTTTTTTGGTTCATGCTAGATTTATCCTACTTAATCATATTTTTTATTGGATCTGTCTTTTTTTTATAATTAAGCTGCTTTCTATAATTTACCTAGCAAACTATTATACAATTTAACATATTCAAATTACCTTTGAATCTTAAACTAACACAAAAGGAAAAACAAGGTCACATTTTAAGTAGTAATGAAGTATAGATATAACTTAAGAATAATTATTTTTTCTTTGATTGATAAGAAAAAAAAAATAGCAACTAATTGTTATCTTTTTCTCATAATGATTAATTATAATAGTGTTTTCATGAATAGAAAAAGTAGTATTCTTGAGTATAATACATTTAAAAGTGAGTTACGATTAAATATGTCAAAAAAGAAAATGTACTATGATATTCAAAATTAAAAAAAAAAAAAAACTATATATTAACGAATGAAAGTAAGTTTTATGACCACATTTTCAACAACAAAAATCTTGTACAAAATCTATATGTAAAATATTGGCCATATAAAATTAAAAAAACTCCGCTCAGTGGGATTGTGGCACAATTGTATCAAAAATATATGTATGGGTTTATTAAAAAAAGTGAAGAAAATTAACTTAATTCATTTACTCAGTACTTCTTTATTATTTCAGTCATGAAATAATAACATTAATGAAATGGTTAATATTTTTTTGAAAAGTGGAGTTCTCTTCTATTTAATATATTTAAAATCTGCATAATATTTATAGCTAACACTTTAATCTTTTTTATAATTTTTTTGTAAAAGGGAGGTTATAATTCAGGTATATATCTTCAACCATTTATATAACTATACCGTTTGACTTATAATATAGGCATAAAGAATTAAAAAAAATATTTAAATAGAAAAATGATGACTTTTGCACTAAAATAATATGTATTCTTTTAAATAATAGCTTGAAATATTTTCGGTTCAAATTCAAAAGTTGAAAAGGCTTACTTTTCATGCAAAAGTTGCTATTTTTAAAACTCCCCTGATGACATATTTAGGGTCAGATTTTCAAAAAATTATATACCTAATAAAAAAGAAATATCCATGGTATTTATTAGAAAAAATTTATTTTGATATATCCATTTTTTAAAAAGTTATGACACTTTAAAGTAAAAAAAAGTTTAAAAAATGTAGAAATTTACAGATTTAAAAAAAAAAATGTTTAAGTTTTTGAAAATTTTATTCATTTACAAGGAACAAGGGAAATATTTTCAATTTTTGAGGGTAATTTCTTCAACAAGATACAATTGGTGATTTTCTGATGTATCGTCAAAGAATCTTAAAACCTGAGAATAAGTAGTGACATAAAAATAAATGATGTATATATATATATATATATAAACACATCATAGTAAAATTATTATCTTTTCAGTTTTGCATCAAAGTTAAAAAGAACCTTAAATGTGTTTTCAAACTCGATCAATATTATTTAACTAATCATATTTTCATGTTTGTCTAAATAAATTTTTCTAGGAATACATGTCTGGGAATCACCTCAACTATTTATATAAATTAATTGATTATTAAAATAATAGTATTATTTAAAAATTAATTTTTATTATTTTAATTTATATTTTCTTTTGTATAGGTGGTGTTGTTCTTACTGTACCAGCAAAATTGGTTTGTGGTGGATTATCTGGGGCTTTTGCTCAATGTGTTTCCTATCCATTGGATGTTACTAGACGAAGAATGCAGCTAGCTAAAATGGATCCTAGTAATGGAAAATATGGGTATTTTTTAAATTATATTAATTTTAAACGGAAAATAATTTAGTATGTATATTGAACATTATTGCGTCAAATATGTCATAAAATGAACTCTTATATAGTTTTTTAGAGTTTTAATTATTTATATTTCTTAATAGGTATGGCATGATTAAAACATTAGTTACTGTGTACCAAAATGATGGAATAGTTAATGGATTATATAGAGGAATGAGTATAAATTTTCTAAGAGCTGTTCCTATGGTAGCTGTATCATTTTCAACTTATGAATTAATGAAACAATATCTCGAGTTGGATACTGGAATTGATTCATGATTATTCATTATTTTCAATTTCAGTTAAGATATTTATATACTTTCATTGTTTATTCAATTGTTATTTATTTATTAAGAGACATCTATTATAGACAATTATTCTTGCTCTATAAAATGACACTGATTAGTCATTCGTTCAATGATATTGAGATCAAGAATACCTTCCCTTGACTTATTCTTAATATTAATTAGTGAATTTAAATATTATTTTTTATTTCTTTTATTAGTGGGTACCAAATATTTAATGGAGATCATGACTTCTGATTATGTATCTATTCTGAAGTATAATAATTTCATTTAAATTTACAAAAAAATTTTAGGTACGCTAGATATGACAAATATGCTCTACTTAATTAAATTATTTTACGTTTGTTAATAGTTTAATTTTGATAATTTTTTACTCTAAACATTTTTGATGTATTTTATGTAAGTCAAATTTAATATTTGTTGATTAAAATAAATAGTGTTTATAAATAGTAAATTTCTAGTTTTAACTTTTTAAAAATATTTTTATCATTAGTGTGCATTTAACAAATCTCTCAGTTTTCCTCCATATCTATCAATAGATCATAAATTAATCAATTTTGTAGGCAGATAACCAAACTTTATGAATTATAGAAATATGATATATCTTTTTAACAATATTTTTCAGTAGATACAAAAACATAATTGGCTTGAATTATGATAATGGTTTTTCACTTGAATAATTCAAGTTATTCAATTTGATATTTATTATATTTCAAAAATATTGTAAAAAGGTTATATAAAAACATTGTCTAGTAACAATGAGAGCAGTTATAATTAAAGAGAAAATAAGTGTTTACCTATAACTTATAAAAAATGTTTAATATTACAATATAATTTATATATTCAATTTGAGTTATACAATATAAATAACTCAATTTCAAACAAAATGTTTCTATAACAAATAAATTTTAAATGAATGTTAAATAGTTAAATTAATTTTAAATAAATAATAGAGAATATTTTTTATCCTTTTAGTAATATATTTGATGTTGATTGGATTTTGGTATTATCAATTCCATTTTCATCATGAGAGTTTGAAGATACACATAGTTTTGAAATAGTTGCAGCAGCTTTAAATAATTTGGAATTACGTTGTTTGTCCAATTTTTTTTTCCACTAGTTAATAATATATTATTAATATATTTATATATATTTAGTATTAACTAGACTTCTACAATTTAAAAACGATAGTCACTATCGCAATAATTTTTTTTACTCAAAATGTTAGTAAAAAATTTATTTTAGTTAGATATACAGTGAGTTACTTACGGTTTCATCTCTCGATGGCAAAGTTGATAAAAATGACTCTTTATTTGGATCGGCTATGGCAAGTACAGAAAGACATCCGTCCACTGTAGCTATAACGACGGCATGTCCGTCTTCTGTTGTATCAATAGCACTCAATTCTGCTGGTACCCGATAGTTAGCCAACATTTTGGCATCCTCAAGACTGAAAATAAAGTTCTATTATAACGTGTGTTAAATTTTATTACTTCTACGTAAGAAGTCATATAATCTAAACCAGAAATTAATTGCACTGACCGAAATACTCGCAATGTCTTTTTTCCACTGTGGTAATATAAAACATATTCATCAGTTTTATTGAACATGCATATGACCGTAAATACTCCTTCGGCAACTCTGGGTATAAATGTTTTTATGGAGTTTCCTTTTTTAAGTTCAATAAGTTCTAAACCTCCACGCGTCGGCGCATAGAGACCATACTTTCCATCGCGCGTGCAAAATCCTCCCCATTTTGGAATAGACTTAACAAATTTTTTTGTGCGTATGTCAAATAACATTCCTTTATCGGGATTGATTACAGCGACTAAATTTGCTTTATGTGGCATTGCCACAATAAACATGATATCCTATAAAAAAATTAGTATTTTTTTTTGTATAATTCTTTAAGGAAAATTTTTTTGAATTTATATAAAGTATTAAACGATATTATATTAACGACTAATAAACTTTAATACTTTTATTAATTCTTAATTAAATAAATAAAAAAATTCGTTGTACCTTCATTCCAGATTGTCGAAGAATAATTTTATTAATAAATTGACCATCAGATGCATTGTAAACATGCAAAGTATCTCGATGACCTTTATCGTTAACCAAAACAATCAAATTTGAACCATCAGCAGTCACCACAATTTTTTTAAACTCCACTCCAGTTACATTGCGCATTTGATAGACGAATGAATAGAGAGTTTGACCATCAGGAATAGATCTTACTACAACTTTAGCATCTATAGTTTGTTGTGTTTCAACATTAGCGTCTTCTTTCCTCGAAACGATAAGAAATTTTGTTGCTTCATCCAAAAACATAATTTGTTGTATTCTGGGCTCTTGTTGTTTAAAAATCACTTGGCACAATAACCTATTCCAAATGATTACATTTCCCGATTCTGAACAAATAATATATCTACCATTTGGTGTAATTAAAGCGTGTGTAACAATAGCTCCTAATAAATTATCTGCCAACTGTTGTTCTAGTTTTCCTGTATTTATGTCCCAAATTCCAACACAACCTCGAGTAACTGTCGCTGCTAATCTAGATGACTGCGATAAACTGAAAATAGTATTATAAAACACAGCATTTTTATAATATATGATTGATTCTATAGAAATATGACCTAAAAAGTTTTAAAAATGTATACTTATTTTTACTTTATACAGCAAAATTTTATTGTACAATAAATATTCAAGAGAAGTTTAAAAAACATTGGATGGTGAATTCGAGGTATATTATTTCTCGGTTCGCGAGCAGGGTCATCTTTATAGAATTACATCAACTAGTTTAAAAATCATTGGTACAAATAGTGTTATGAATTTAGAGTACGCTCAAAATAATGTACCCAAATTTATTTTTATTGATTGATTGACGTGACCTATTTATATGGTAAACAAATTGTGCAGGGGAAGATTAACCTACCGAAAAATCGGAATTTTCTCGCTGAAACTTTTGAAAGTGCTATAGTTTTTTTTATAACTGGTCCTCCAACTTCTCTCTTATATTTGTTTATAAATGATCAAAAGCAAAAAATATTTAAATAAAATATGTACAATAAAAATAAATTGTGAGTGTAATTTTTTTGAAACTTGTGGTTTTTAATGAAGAGAGTCATTTGATAATTCCTAGTAAGTAATAATTAGATGGTCGTAGTCTCATATAAGAATAATTATTGTTATATTTGGCTAATTTTTCTGAAAATTTAGAAAAGTATACATAAACAGGAAGATTTATTAAGGATAAGACACTCATTTTCTCGATAAAAATTTTAAATTTTTGGTAAGGAAAATATTGTTTGATTCAAAAAACTCTATAATAATATGTAGAAAAAACATAATTTTTTTCATCCCTTCAAGGTTAAAAAACATTAACTTGATTTTTCTTAAATGGGAACCCCTATTTTGAATTTGTTATTATGATTTAAAATAAAAATTTAAACAACTTTACTCTTATAATTTTTTTTTCTCAATTAACCATTCGTCTGTTACAGTTTGTTAAAGTTAAATGATTTTGGACTACATTTCTATTTATTTACTGTTTTGAATACAGATGTCACTATTTTTAATTTAAACTAATTTTTATTGACCAAGATATGACATATAAGATAGCAATAATAATTTACCACACACTAATTGTGAGATAATAATAATAGATTGAAATAGGGCCTTAACTATATTATTAATAACACAGTCTATTGGTTTGTAAGACTAACTGTAATACTGAAGAATCAATTTCTTTAAAATGCCCAACTCTATGCGTAGTATAGTGACTCTTAATAATCGAATATTACGATAATGTTATTGTAATCATTGCTTACACAAAGTAATCTTTATTTTTATTGACGGATACGTATTAAAAGTTGTAGCGTAACGTCATAAACTGAATTAAGTTAAATTAGTTTATGTTACACCATAGAAAATGAGTGACTCCTGTATTCAAAACAGTAAATTAATAGAAATGTAGTCCAAAATCATTTAACTTTAACAAACTGTAACAGACGAATGGTTAATTGAGAAAAAAAAATTATAAGAGTAAAGTTGTTTAAATTTTTATTTTAAATCATAATAACAAATTCAAAATAGGGGTTCCCATTTAAGAAAAATCAAGTTAATGTTTTTTAACCTTGAAGGGATGAAAAAAATTATGTTTTTACAACATATTGTAAAGTTTTTTGAATCAAACAATATNTCTACATATTATTATAGAGTTTTTTGAATCAAACAATATTTTCCTTACCAAAAATTTAAAATTTTTATCGAGAAAATGAGTGTCTTATCCTTAATAAATCTTCCTGTTTATGTATACTTNTTCAATATTTACCAAGAAAATGAGTGTCTTATCCTTAATGAATCACCCTGTATATATATATTTATATAAAAAAAAAATTAAGGCGGAGAAAATTAATTGAGTACTCCTAAAAATTTTATTATAGTTGTGTGTATAGTAATTGATAAATCACTCATTTCGGGTGCCCTCAAATCGTACCGCAGCAAGTACCATTAACGCATTACAACTTTGAATGGGGAATGTTAGCTCATTAGTTATGTGTTTAAAAATTTTTTAATAAAATATTTTAATGAACCTTATAGAATCAATTTGCAACTCGTGTCGATCTATAACGTGAACTTGTTCAAATATATTATTAATATTCCAAACTTTCACTGATCTATCAATCGAGGATGTTATAGCCGAATTCCAATTTCCAGTAGTTAATGGCAACAGTGATATTATGCGTCCAAAGTGTGCATCTAATACTTTTATTAAATCGCCAGTTTCCATATGCCAAATATACAACATTTTTCTATAAAATAAAATTACAGAGTCGTAGTACAATTATTGGATGACTATATTATAATTGTTATAAAAAAATGTTTAATTCAATACCGAACTCCAGCAATTAGAAAACGTTTATCAGACGACAACATGCAAGAGTTTGATTGCATCATATTTATTGTAATATTTCGAACTCCATGAGGTAAAAACAATATTTTTGTATTATTTAATGATAAGTCCCAAACACAAAACCCATTCGATGTCGTGCCCAAGAGTAATAATTCATCTTCAGACAATTTTAGTTGAAGAATTACACTATTCGTAACTGTAAATTAAAAATTGAACTTTCACAATTTTTAATTTTAATTTATTCAAATAAATTTACCACAAGGTAATTTTTTTACAAAAGTCCATGAGTTATTAACAAAATCGAATTGAGATACATTAAATGATTTATCAATTGAACAACAATACAATTTATATTTATTTTTGACTATAGCCATAGCACTATGAAAATACAACGGGAAACAATTATTGCTTTCTAAATTTGTTCGTAACATCATCCTTGTTTCGTCTATTTTACCCGACCAATATATAAAATGACTAAAAGTCAATGTTGTGAATTCTACTGACATCAAAGTCCATTTCTCAACTTCTTCATTAACTTGTTCTCTTTTAACATAAATTACATACAAATAAATTAGGAATAATTATTAGTGGCATATTTATGTTGACTTCTAAATTTAATGTAATATATCATGTTCAACTTATAGAAATATGTTTACTATAAGTATTTGTTTAAATGAAAAGTTTTATTCAATTTTTAAAATTTTATTTGTTATACATTTTTTTAGGACAATGTAGTTTTTTTTCGTGGGTCTAAAATTAATCTGTATAAAATTATGAGATTTTATGTAACATGTTTAATATGGCACACTTTAATCTCAAAGTTTATAGAAAATGTGAACATTAATCGTTTTTTGAGTATATTGACACAAGATTTGATTTTTCAAATAGTCATCAGGCATTTTTGTAAAATTTGTTCTCTATTAAAAATGTATTTTAATTTATTTATTATGTTTTAAAATTCATAGGAGCTGTTGATGCGTTTTTTGTCACCTGAGAATATTAGGGTCTATAATCTTTGATTGACTGACACAATATAAAATAGTAGTCAATTTTTTTTATATAACATATAATTTATAAAAATATAAATCTCGTAATGTTATCATTAAAATTCTCTAATAATTGTACGTCTTTTTCAGCAGAATCATTGATAATGTTTAGTTGTTTAATGATAAATTTGTCCTTAATAAGAACTGAAGTTACCCTTAAGAAAAATAAATTAGTAAAAAAAAATTGTTTTCAAATTTTTTAGTACTACTAAAAATATTTTTTATATCTCACTATAAATTATAAGTTACCCCTGAACCATAAATAATCTAGAAACGCCAATAATAATTATATAAGTGTATTTATATAAAATTTACCAAAAAATACTTGGTAGGTAATTTTAGTAATTTTTAATTATAAAAAAAAAACTTTGTTAAGTTATATTATTTACCTTGATTCTAAATTTCCTCTTAAATCGTATCTAAGCAATAAAGATGATTCATGAACAAATAAGTGTGTATTCAGCATATTAACACCAGTAACATTCTTTCCATTATCGAATGGATTTTCAATTACAATAAATTCACTTGTTAAACAGTTTAAAAGGACAATCTATTACAAATAAATAAAAAATAAAAACGACAATAAGTTAATGAGTTAGTGTAATTTTTTAGTTAAAAATAACTTTTTATTTTTTTAATATTTTAAAGAAAAAAAAATGTCTTATGTTTTGTTTTTTAGTACATTCTAATTATTTATTAAAATAATGATTGAAAATATGAATGTAATGATAATAATTGTCTAAACGATTAAATAAACTTTTTATTTTATAATTTGAGTATTTTTAATCACATGAAAAATTAATTTTTTTGAGTATACCCTATCGAAATGTCTAAAAAAAATCATAAGAACTAAATTTAATTATTAGGTCGACCTTAGACTAAATCTAGCTTAAACTTTTTCCTAAACTATTTTTTATAAGTTAAATCATCACGTGCTATTTTCGTTCCACTAAACTAAATTCTAATGGTAAATCTTAATACATGGTTAAATATGTTTTTTAATTAAAATCAAAGATTATGTAAATGTTTTTTTTTTATTTTTTAACTTAAACGTGATATTTAATTTTTAAATATCATAATATTACTAAATATTATTGTGTCTGAATACAAACAAAATACCTGGTTATTATTTGTATATGCAGCAGCGTAACGATTATCTGGACTTAAACACAATGATTGCATAATTCCTTCTAACCCAGGGTTAACGTTACGTGTCATGTCACTAGTTGATAAATCCCAAGTTATAAAACGATTTGAAATTGAAACTATGTATCTGTAATCGGATGTTACTTGAAAATCAAACACGGCGAATTGGTGGCCTTCGAGAGAATACTGAAATAAAGTAAAGAATTATAATTTAAAAAATATTTTATTATTTTTAATATAAAAGAAAAATTTACTTTAAGAGGGCCACCTGGAGTATGCAAACAATGGTAGTATGGTATAAGTGCACAGTTTTCTGGTCCAAATTGATCACATTCTGTTAATAAGCTTTTTATATTTGGGTTTGCACCAATTTCCGGCAATAGTCTTCCAATTAACTGAGGAGCAAGCATATCAGGAAATTCACTTAGTATTGCTCCTCCTAATCTTAGTGCATCAGCAACAAGAATCAATTCTCTACAAATTAATTGAAACCATTTTTGTTAGTATCACAAAAAAAAAAAAATGTATCAGGACAAATGGTATCCTAGACCATTGCCACGTCAGTTTTGGCATATCCTGTTTGTTCACACACACACATATATATATATGTATTTAAACCAAAGCCTGACCTTTGTTTTGCCTTCAAGTCTTCTTGACTTTTAATCGTTCCATAATAAAAATTATTAATGTAAAAAATTAAAAAAAGAATATTAGATTAAGTTTTAAGGAAATGTGATATCGTATTGATATTGTACCTTGTCGCATCTCGATCATCAATATTTGCACAGGCATCTTCAAAATCGCTTAGTACGGCTTGTAAAGGACATGAAGATAATTTTGCATGAAGCCAACGGTAGTTGAAAAGTACATTTTTGTATAAATCTTGAAACCGATGAGCTCTAATTAGATGATAAGGCAATTCTCCAAACTGTCAAAAAAAAAATCCTGGCTTAATTGTACTAATTAAATTTTAAGAACAAATAAGTTAAGCGTATTAAATGAGGAGATGTTTAATAGGGGATAACTAAAAACTTCAATATTTTGTCTTATACGTTTCTGGTAAAATTTAAATGTATTTAAAATCTTACTTTTCTTAAATTGTATCTTGTAACAATACCCTCTTTTGAATAAAAAACTAATGGTTGGACTGGAACCTTTCTATCAGCTGAGCCTTCTTTATTTTGTAAATTAAATCTATGTCTTTGGATTTCTGTGAACTTGAAAGGTTTAGGATTGCCACCACCCCAGATTCCTAAGTAATAATCTGCGATAGAGGAATGAAAATATGTCACCATATTCATATTTTTAAAGTATCTTTCTCGTGCTGCATCTCTGAACTGTCTATTAACCAAAAGATATATATAAAAATGGTACAGTCATATTTGTAATGTATATTAATTAATTATTCAATATTTTAATGAATTTAATGCAATACTTCTATTTACCTGTGATACCAATTCAATACACTAACACCATCAGCTTCTCTTTCAGATAGATAATTTGGCAAATCATTACGAATCCTCGTCCATAGTAAAGGAGGAATTCTTCTGACAGGTGGCAAATGATATTGATAAACATCATCTAAAACTTTGTCGTCCAATGAAATTAAGTCTTCAAGCTCTGATTCTGATAAACCACTTTTAGATGCCGTTATATAAGCTAAGGCGTGAAATACTAATAATCGTCCATGTTGTTTTTCAATTCTCTCAAAGAGCATCATGATCGAGTCCATTACATTTGATGCCAAATGAGTTTCCTGTGATTTAGTATAGCTGCGCCAACGACAGATTTCTGCAAATACAAGCTTAACAAAAATAGGTAGAGAACATTGATTGATAGCATTTGATACCAGTCTCCATTGACAGTTCGTTAAATCACGGTGAGCCGTTTCCATCCATTTTCTATGTTATAATTAATACAAATGTGTTTTAAAAAATTCTGTAGTGTTTGAACTAGAGGTTTTAAGTTCAAAATACAAATATTATTTTTACTGCTTGTTGGTTCATTAAAATCAAAAAATTAAAATATTTTTTGTCTCAACAATTTTAGCATTAAAAAAAATTTATGCTCAACAGACTTCAATTTATTTATAACCAATTACTCCAGTTTTACGGAATTATACAATAACAAATACATATTAAGGAAGTAATACCTGATTACTTCTTCGGCAAGTTCTTCACCAAGAGCTGTAACTTCAATAAACTGTTTCTCGTCGTCAATCATTCTTCGTAGTACATGATAGTCTCGAGATACAATTGTATTTCCTTCTTCTTTAGCTACTGATACTAGTAACTGTACAAAAATGGTTTAGTAGTATAAATATTAAATTAGCTATTTAATAGTATAAATAATTATCATCACTAACTTTACAATTATTTGGCAATCTGGTTGGTATCCAAGACACATTATTTGTGTCTTGAGTACCAGTAAGTTGATCTACTGAATCTAAAAATAAAACCAAAGGTTGTTTTTTAGTCGCATATGTTAATAAATGTTTGAAATGTGCCGTTAACGGTACTAGATCATCAGGTATATCATCAAATGGTAACATGTAATTGTAGGATATTTGCTGGCATATAGATATTAGCGCTGGTGTTAATGTACTGCTATCTGGAGTTGTTCCTAAAAACCTTACTACACAAATTGGTTTCGTTGCAGTTTTAGAAAACCAAGACGAATAACTAAGATCAGCAGCTTTTGCTAATAATGATGTTTTACCACAACCTCCTTCACCATAAAGTATTATTGGCTTTTCACAATCACTTTTCATGTAACTTTCAATTTGAGTTAAACTATCTTCTCTACCATAAAACACCTTTAAAAAAGAAATAATTTATTGAAGAGCCTAAATATTAAAATTGTTAAAAATATATCAAACTTACTTTTACTGAATTATGACAGGCGTGTAAATGTTGTAGAATTTCTGTAACTATTTGACCTTGTGGACTAGAATCTTCTTTTCTCATGGCTCTATCAACCAATTTGGTAATATTCTTATAAAAATGCATGATAAAATTTTGTAAGTATTCTTGATGAGTTTCATTATCTAAACCTTCTCTGCCTATCCATTCTACAGAGTACCTTAACACCAAAAAATTATACGTAAATAATGCCTAAAAATTAATAAATAATTATTAATTATATTCTGTGTCAGAAAAAACTTAAATTTGTTCTGTCGTGAACTGACACTAAAGGCGAATTATTTATTTAAAAAATGAATGATTTTACAGTTGAAATTTCCCACTTTTAATTTTGAATTTTTAATTCACCATCATCTCCTAAGCCATTATTATAACTATTTGGTGTTAACTTTACCTTATAGTCTGATACTACTTTATTACGACTGAAGGAGCCACTATAGAAGCGAGGTGTGTGTCACTATAGCTATAATTTCCACTAAAGTTTTTGATAAATTAAATCGGAAGGAATTAACATATAATTATAATTATGTGTTAAGGCAAAATAAAACTAATAATAATTAATTTTACTTTAACTCTCTTATAAAGTTTGTTTTTTTTCAAGTTATGGGATAATTCTTCACGGTAAGAGATATTTACTTTTGATAGTTAGTAGTTTCGATCTTTTGCACCAATCGTTCATCTCTCAAGTCAGTCAATAATCGTGATGCTTCAGTGTCAATACTACGGTTGACTATATCCAGAAAATTGGATGCTTTTTTAAGATTTTGAAGGTTGATATTGTTAATATAACGTACATATGCAAGACAATGATTTTTCGTGTTTTTTACTTTTAATATTCCGTTTATAACTTCTCTTTCGGTAACTAAAATTTGTATTATATTATTTTATTGGAAATAAATGTATAACTGAAACACTTGTTTAAGAAATAATGTAGATTACAAAATTTGAAAGTTAAGTTTTTAAGTGTAGTACATTTTTTACGAACAAACGCATCATTTTATTCATTAAAAAAAAAATTAAATATGTAAAAACCCGAGAAGTTCGAAAGTTTTTGAAAGAGTTCTGGAAGAATACGTGTACCTATAAATACGTATGTAACAGTCTGGTGAAAACTTTATATATAATTTTACTAAAGTGTCATAGATACACTTCATAAATATTTTTAATAATGTAATAATAAATTAAGGAAATACTTCTATTGCTAGAGACTGATGACTTGATAATTAAATAAAAATATGCAACTACGAATTTTTGTAAATATTACTTATATCATTTGGACTTAGTCATCGTGGTCAGTGGATTTCAGTACGCACATCAAGATTTAATTTTCAAAACGTGAGTCTGAGTACTCGATTGTCGCTGTACGATTTTTAACCTTAAGTCACGAGTTGGTTGGTTAATTCTTGACTCCTTCACCTACCTTGATTTCTCTTCTGATTAACTAAAGTACTTGTGTCTTACACTTCGTTTGCACCTTGTACTTTGGTGTTACTCTCCTACACTTTCTGTGACACTAGCTCTTAAACTACTTCTAGAATTCTGATAGAACCGAAGTGTCAGCCGACTACCTACTATACATCTACATTTCTTTTTTTATTTTACGGCAGTAGTAATTTGTGTACTCATATATCATTGAAAATTATATAGTGTAGAAATTACGCAGATCCAGAACTTTTAAACGCAACTTCTTAATATAAAATAGGGACATTATATTTTGTTACAATTACTCAGGGTATCTCAAAGAATATTTTTCTTTTAGTTATCCTAGTTTCAACACAACATACCAATAGTGGCTTAAAATCATTTTTTTTACAGTTCAATATTTTGAACACATCATTTCTCAAATAAGTGATTCAGATAATTTTTATGTTCATATATACCTGACATGTAATAGTTGTGCATAGTATCTTTATCAATTTTTTCACAATTATATAAGCTTATGGATGCTTTCCTAAAGAGTTTTTGCATTTTAGATAAGGTGTCCCACCAAATTGCTTGGTCTTGTTGTTGAAGTTTTGGTATTCGCTATAATATATAAAGAGTTATAAGAACATTTTAAAATTATTTTTTACTTAAGTGTAGTTGATGAAATTTACTTTATTGTTAAAATTAATTAAAATTGATGAAATAGGTTGTAAAACTGACACAGGTGGAACGGCATTACTATCTTTTCTATACCACATGTCAAGAAGAGAAACATCTGAGCCACAATTAAATAATTCTTCTTTTAAAAGCTCCAATTCCGAAGAAATGATATATGTTGGTATAGGACGGTAACCATATTTTTGACCAAGAAATACCTAAATTTATGTCATAAGTTTTTATCATTTTTTATGAATATTTTAAATGAACGAGCTCGACATTTATATTGATCATAACGATCTCTTATTTCTTAATGTGTCAGTAATATTAAAATTACGAAAATTTTTAATGTTCAGTCCCTGGTACATATTTATCAAAAGAGACTTGAATCATATTTTTGATTAGATTTTTAGGCATATAGGAATTTTTTTAATGGCACAGATTTTATAAAACTTGAAAGTATCTTACCAATATATCCTCTTTTTTGGGGGTACAAGAGATACGATAACCTAAAGTTTTTATCTCCAATGGGTATAAAACTATTTCAATTAATTAATAAAGCCCAGGAAGTCATTAGATCGCATGACTTTAAAATCCCTTAATTAACATTTATGATTGTTGTACTATAGGATAAAATGTTTACTAAAAACTATAGAGATAGATATAATTTTGATAAATAATAATTATATAAAATATAAGTTCTTTATACTACAAAATTTGGTCCCATTGATAATCTTTGACAATTTTCTATTTCTTTCATGCATAGTTCTGTAGTCATATGATCATCAGTGGCTTCGTCTCGAACTCCCCATCTCATATCAACTACCTGCATAAAATAAATTATTATTATGTGAACTCTGAATGCCAGTACTGCATGGTACGACATTGTTGCAAGGTCAAATAATACTATTGATTTGGTGATTTAATTGGTTTGTCAAGAATATTTGTACATGCTAAATGTAGGCAAACATGAAATAGTTTTATGAATCTTTATTTTACCCGTTATGAAATAAAAAACGATCATCTGTTTTTTTTTAATAAATAATTTTTTGATCATTAAAGATTTCGATATCACATGTTTGAAGTCATTTTTTTTAATATGCCTAAATATTTATTTCCATTTATTAGTACAATGTGTCTAAAGAATTATTTCAAAATCATTTTATGGTACGTGTTATACATTATTTTACGTTATTACAGGCTTAGATATTTATATGAAAAAATAGTAAACATTAAAAGTAAAATGTTTAGCGACAAAAATTAAAAAAACATTGCTTTACTTTATTCAGTAGATTTTGTTTTTATTTTATTGTCATAAATGTAATCCTTTTAGCTTTGGTGCGAAGTTGAGAAGGTATTAATTTTACCATGATTTGTTTATTTTGTTACGTCTGTTGCCACTTTTACTTAACTCTTACCGGGCCGATTTCTTTTAACAATATTTTAAAAGATCACAAATCGTATCTAGTTAAAAAAATTGTCCTCAAAAATTAAAAAAATTTCCCTCGTTCCCTGTAAATGGGTCAAATCCCCCAAAAAATTACAATTTTAAAAAATCGGTAAATTTTTATATTATTTTTCACTTTTTCTTAAAACTGCAATAAACAATGTTCGAAAAATTAACGAATCAAAATAACTTTTTTTTATATAAAAACTTAAGGTATTTTCCTTTTATTTGATATTTTTTTTTTTTGAAATTCTGACCTTTTACGTTCCCTTAGGGGGAAATTCAAAAATGTCAATTTTTCTATGTAACTTTTGAAAATGTTCAGGAAATACTGCGTCTTTTACATATACATTAAATTAAAGCTTATGTTATGTAGTATAAATTTAATCAAAAATTTATCCCGACGACTTATCTTCTACGTGCAAACGGCTGCCATAGTTAAAAAAATTCTATTTTATATTCAAATTTTATTTTTTTTTTGTTTATTTTAAAATACTTTACAAGGGTTACTGGCGTGTTTTTATTACGTTCCTGTACATGTTGGAGTTGCCATACCATTGAGTCTGATGACTCGTGGCTAGTGATCTAACGTGTTTTTTTTGTTGTCGGTTAGTTTGTATCGGCCTCTTTAGGAGACAACCAACAGTTCCTCTCATCCGTTACATGCTACTACGCGAGTGCACAACGGAAATCGAGATCAGCAGAGACTGACATTCCATACTTCAAAGGAAAATTTGTTGGAAAGCGGTCGGCAGTCTTTCAACATCAAATGGCAGTGTGGTTGGCTGATAGCTGGGTGATGTTTTACAATTTTTATTGTTAATGTATTAATATATTAAATCTCTATTAGTTTATGTATGTATATATAATAAAAATGCTGTCTTTAATCAATCATTAGTGGATTGTCTTCTCGTTGTTCGCCTAAAATAAGTACGCCTAGTAGCAGAAAACTCCTGACTTGTCATTTATGTATAGATAATTAAGTTAACGTTTATGTAAAGTAATGAAAGGTTATTCTGGGAACTAAAATTTCATTATATTATTTTTACATTATACTTATTTTGATTATTTTGCCTTTTCAAAGTTAAGAAAATTTTTTTAAAAATTTGATTAAAAAGTAGAAAATTTTCAAAATAACTTTTGAAAATGTTAGGGAAATATGCGTATTTTAAATATATATTAAAATAATGCTTATTTTATGTACTAGAAGTTCAAAAAAAAAATTTGTACAGACGTCCTACTTTCTATGTGCAAATGGTAGTCGAAGTAGAACAAATAATAGGAATTATTTTTGCTTATGAATACACCAATTTCTTAAAATTAAACACCATCTACAGATTTGCATCGAAGCATTTCTTATTATAATGAATATAATCACTCCCAGATATCATCTAAACTTGTCTTAACTATGCCACGTACATGTGCAACGACCCCATTGTGCTATGGCTTTTTTTTATTTATCTTTGTTACATGTTAATTCTAAAATTTACGAAACCAGATATTATTATTTATAAATATAATCACTTTTAAACTTAAAATTATCAAATTTAATAATTTATTTATATGATTTTGTTCTATTTCTAAACACATACATAACTTCAACCCAACTCCATTCCCCTACAAACAATTTAATTTTAAATTTTGGTTAATTTAAACATTTTGATTTTAATATTTTAAATGAATTAAATATTTTGTACTTAAAATCATTTTTCACAATATTTCACATTTAAAATACGCAATTTTAAGTATTTTCCAATTCATGTCTATGCGTCAAGGGAATCCCAATCTAGAATTTAAAATCAAATATCTCAAAATTACGTTACTGTATAAAATGCACTATCAATTATTTTTTCAGCATTTTAAAACTGCTATTTCTTTTGATACATATTTTACGAAAATCCATTGGGTCAATCCGTACCAAATCATCCAGAAGTGATTGTACGACCATCTCTTTTTTTTCTTAAATTTTCAGGATTTATTCTTTATATTACATTTAAATTAAAACAATTTTTTTTTTATGGCCTTCCTATTATTATGGCTATTTTAATGTAAAAAATATTAAACATAGCTCTTGTTCTTCTTCCTCGCCTTAATCCCAACTACTTGGGGTCGGCCACCCTTATCCTAAACTTCCACTTGACTCGATCTCCTACATCAACTACGCTCACATCAGCTGTCCTCAAATCGCATTCAATAGCATCCCTTCATCTTTTTTTTGGTCTGCCTTTACCTCTTCTTCCTTCAACATTCAAAAAATGTTAAACATAGCCAGAACGTTAACAAACATACAAATTATTCAATATTTCTTAATAACTTATATAACTTAATTGAATTAAAATTTTAAAATTGGTCTCATTATAACTAAAGTTTACATTAAAAAAAGATTTATGTGAAAACTTTAATGACTTTCTAAAAATGGCGCTTCTTTGTGTAAAGTGGCGTTTTTGAGCTCAATTAAAACCATTAAGAAGTTATTATTTCATAGTGATTTTCAAATGTGGTATTGTATAGTGTATAATCTATGTTTCAACTAAATTTCAAATATTTAAAACAATTTTCTTTGGATTTAGAGGCCCAAAAAGATAGACATTTTATAAAAATACACGTCTTCTAGGTGCATTATTTCTGTTGGGGGACCTAATTTCAAAAAAACTTTTTTTTAATTTTTTAGTTATACAGAGCGATTTATTAAGGATAAGACACTAATTTTCTCGGTAAATATTGAAAATTTTAAATTTTTGGTAAGAAAAATATTGTTTGATTCAAAAAACAACAATAATATGTAGTAAAAACATAATTTTTTTCATCCCTTTAAGGTTAAAAAACATTAACTTGAATTTTCTTAAATTGGAACCCCTATTTTGAATTTGTTATTATGATTTAAAATAAAAATACAAACAACTTTGCTCTTATATATTTTTTTTCGATCAACCGTACGTCTGTTTTAGCTTGTTAAAGTTAAATGATTTTGGACTAAATTTCTATTATTATTTTACTGTTTTGAATACGTAACGTTGTTTCCGACATACGTATAAGCGATTTTATAGTGATTTTTGTAGATTTGGAGTTAAATACTTTTTACATTTTTTAGTTATAAATCAATATAATAATGTATTTTTAATTTAAAATAATATTACCCATAAGTGATCAATTTTAATTTTATTATATAGCAACTTGTCTAACTATTTTTATTTATAGTCTTTTATAATATATTTACGATTTATTTAAAATTTCGGAGTGTTTAAACCAGTAGCTCAGATAGAAATTGTAATCCCCCAAATGATTACAGATCTTTGTAGTGATACTTTTTTTTTTAAATAGTATTAAGATACAATAAGTACAAAAAAATAAACAGGTTAATATCGAAATAGCTGCTAACAATGTGTCTTACATTAGTTATTCATCAGATCATGATCGTCGCTCTTTGTGTCGTGTTTTTATATATTGTAAATTTTATCGATAATTAGTGTTTTTTGATCTCTATTAAATAAAATTTTTTTATTAAAATCACTACATATAAGCGAAACGAATGCATTATTCTAAATATAGAAAAAAATGATTTATGAAGAATAATATTTCTTGACGCTGTATATTTAAAGGGTTGAAATTGTTGAAAAATCAACAGTTGTGATAAATGAAACGATTACTGAAATTTTAACTGAAAACGATTCATACATGAATCATGAACGACTAGCAAAATCCTTTAAAGTTCTTTTATTATTAAGAATCAGAATGATGTATTTAACTTATATTGATTTAAAACTTAAATGAAAATTATTTTACTTATAAATAAAATGTATACGTATTTGCTGCTTCCTAATATTTGCTAAAGTGTTATTGATTAGAACACGTATTAGATGCTTCTACTAATTTAAAATCTCGTGATACAATTCCGAATAAAATCTACAATTAATAATTATTTCTAATAAAATCGCATACAAAATCAAATGTGCATTTAAATATACATTTTATTTAATAAAATTTAAAAATCATAAAACGAACCTGAAATTCTAATCCGTGTTTTTCTCTACAAAAGTCTTTTAATTTTGGATAACATTGCGCCATTAAAGTATTTCTTTCCATTGTTGTATCTAATCGAAAGTAAGTTATTAGTCACGCGTATTGTATTTTAAGGACTTTAATTATGCCTGTAAATGTGGAACTTGTAAATATTCTGACTATTTTAGAGCTGACTGGAGGCAAATTTTCGAGAGATCCAGCAAAGATTAAATCCACAGTTCTGTCATCCATTTTTATTAACTAAATGTTTTATTTTTCAAATTAAGTCATAAAACTAAGTACCATAACTATACTATTTAAACGAAAATTTTTAAATACTGTACTTGTAATTTCACAAACTTGCTGCTTGGCTTACAAATATCGTCTGCAAGGTAAGACAATTTTGACTATCGCGCCAAACAACCAACGATACTTATTCAGATATTCGTACCAACATAAATATTAATTTATAAAAAATCCTGTTATCTTAATGATAGCTGTTATCAATTGAATTGATAAAATAAAGTAAATTAACATAAACATTTACATGTTAATGACAATCAAGGTTATTAACTTAATAACATTAGATAACTTATATCTTGGTTTTAAAATTAAAATGTTTCTTAGAATTCTACCTTAAAAAGTTTTAATGTTTTTTTAAAAATTAAATATTTATATTTTGTATTTATAAAACATTTAACTTCAGTTAGTTTTAAATTGTGAACTATGATTTTAGAAGACAATCAAAATGTTTCTAAACCAAGAGTGAGTATTTGACAATAGAATGTTTATCGATTATCATATGTCCTTATGTTTTGTGAGTATTGAAGAAATATAATATTAGCTTAAATAGGATTATATCTGCTTTGTGAATAAATTTGTAGGAAAGTCATTGATTATTGGTTACTATGGAAACTAAACTTACATGTATATAATTATTATATCTAATCATTTAATTTTAAATGCTAGAGAATCCTATTGTTATATAATTATTTGTTTACCAGAATTAAAATACTGATCTTAACTTAATAATTAATTTGAAATGTTATTATTAAAGGTAAAAATTTAATAGCACTGATAACTAGAGTTTTAATTTCTTATTGCGCATAGAACTTACAGTATTATTTTAGAAAATTCTTATTATAAAGACCTAAAATTATATTAAAATAGAATACTAATAATTTAAAATTAATATTTAATTAATGCGGGGCATCAATCTTGAACATACACAAATACCTACGTATCTAAGAATCATATTAGATAGGACATTAACCTTCAAAAGTAACTGCAAACAAATCAAAATAAAAGTCACAATATGAAACAACCTAATAAGGAAATTAACCGGGACAACATGGGGAGCTAACCCCTAGTTGTTAAGAACTACAGCACTTGCCTTATGCTATTCAGCTGGAGAGTATGCATGCCCAGTATGGAGTAGATCATGCCATGCAAAAAAGGTAGATGTAGCTTTAAATGAAACATGCTGCTTAATAACTGGATGCTTAAAACCCACATCCATATCTTTGGTACAAGTTATAACTGGAATAGCACCCGACGATATTAGAAGAAATGTAGCCAGTGATGCTCAAAAAACAGCCCAAGCAAATAATGAAAGACACCCACTCCATGAACACCAATTGGCCCCAAGCAGACTGACATTGAGAAAAAACTTTCTGAAATCAACTAAGGAGAACATAACATCACATGAGCATGAACAACATCGAAGATGAATAGCTCTGAACCTAAAAAATAATTTTAAAATAAGGCCAATGGAAAAACTTCCATCCGGATATCGCAACGAATGGAACACCTGGAAAACACTTAATAGATTGAGAGTAGATGTTGCCCGAACAAAGAAAAATCTATGTAAGTGGGGATACGATACGGAAACTGTAGACTGCGACTGTGGAAGTGATAAATAGAACAACATATACTAGTGTGCCCCCTAAATTCAGTGCCATGTACATCTGAAGATCTGGCAAATGCAATAGATGCGCTATACAAGTAGCCAATCAATGAAGTAAAAAAGGATTAAACAAAACAAAGCATTTATATTAAAGTCTGGACACGATAAGAAGAAGATTTAATTAATATACAAAAGTGAAAATAAAGTATAGACTAGTATGGCTATAAAATATAAAATAATCTTTTTTATTAATTCATCGAGCCTGGTCTGGATTTGAGCAAAATATTGATTGTTGCATAAAAAACTAGTTGGATTTTGTAAACTACAATTTAAAATGTTAGTTTATTGCTTTTTATTAAGTAATTCATTTTTATCATTTCTGTAGGTCTATTTTTACCTTATAAAGTTACTTAAAATTTTACTCTTGATGTATTATATATTATTAATACTTCTTTAGATATTTGACAAAAATTATAAAGTCTCCCAGTTTTGATACTTAATTGTTTCTTCTTATTTAAACTTTTTAAAATATTTAATCAATTTATTAAATCTTTAGAATACCCGAGCAGCTCGACCAAAAGTTGTTTATCAATGGACTGTTCAAGACGTTCAAAAATGGTTTCGTCGACATTGTTATGATTATTATGTATTGTATGGTGAAAAATTCTTACAGGTATTTATTGAAAATTAATTGCACTTCTGTTTACATGCAACCATTATTATTTATTTTTATAATATTTATCATATTTATATATAAAGGATAAAATATATTATAAAACTGTGTGTCTATGACTTTTTTAGCATGAGATCATTGGTAGAGCCTTGATTAGAATAAATGAGAATCAACTATATCGCATGGGAATCATAAATCCAGATCATAATCAAGAAATATGTCGTGAAATTCTTAAACTACGTTTAAAAACATACATCTTAGAATTTAGAGATCTTGAGCGGAATAATCTTTATGATTAAGAATATTGATAAATAACAATGACTAAATAGTAAGTAAATATAATAAAACATTATTCTGTTTCTAATAATTGCATCAAATCTAAAATATTTTCATCTACTCTTGATGGTGTATTATTCATTTGTACTTCTATATTTTTTAAAGATGAAGTGTCAATATTAATATCAAGTGTGACATTTTCTCTTTTGTGTTCTTTTCCTGTCCTACAAAATATTAGTTATCAATATAAATTTTTTTACTTTTTAAGTTATATTGTTAAAATTTACTAATAAAACACAGAATCTCATGAATGTGCCGAATATGGAAATTTACTTTGTATTGATCATCAGAATTATAGCCATGGATTTAAAAATGTGCTGGTCATCCTCAATGAACATTTTATGTATCAAAATTATGTAAAATTTATGTTATGCGACTTCTAGCTTTTTATCATTTTTAGTTAGATTTTACATTGTAAAAAGGGGCCATTGTCACCTATACATGTTCATGTCCATGACTGTATAAAATTATTATAAAATTCATAAAAAAATAGTAATTTATTTTTATGTGAATACACAATTATTTTACAGAGTAAAATTATATTTTATAATTTTAAATTCTGGTACATTTTAATAATAATCTGAGCACACAGTAGCCAGGTTCTAGCGAAGCTACAAAGTATATTTACATAAAACAATTTGTCAAACATTTCCCATATAGATAGAAATGTGAAATTTGACAAAAAAGTAGAGATATAGTGTAAGTAAATGAAAAAATCTGAAAATTGTTAATTTTTAAATATAAATGGTTTTACATCATTTGTGGGTGGCAATTATCTTTATTGTTTTTTAGTAGCTCATGAAAATTATTTTTTTTGTTTGCTGGCTTTAACCAGAAGAAAGTAAAGATATCCTCAACAAAAATTTATCTGTGAAAAAGTTTCCACGCTTTTCTCCTAAAAAGTACAAAAATCCAATTAGTGATATCTACATTGTGGCCAAGTTTATTCTTTCTTTTATTTGTAAACTTCAATTCCACTTATACATAGGAATTACATGGAAGTTGGGAAGAAGATAACTTAGACAAAAAAATGTTCAGAACCCTTCACAGAACATATTGGAAATTGCCGAAAAGTCTATTTTGTATTTCATTTAAAAAGTAGAAAAGTGTTAAAAATGTTAAACAATACAGAAATGGAAGTAATTTTGCTCATGAGAGTAGGTCTGATTTTTATGGAAAAAAAGCAATCTTAGCCACAGTATAGTTATTACTATTGTTTATTCTAAGTGAATTAATTGTCAAATTAAATGAAATTTTCTTATTATGATAAAAAAAAACTTAATACTATAGCGAATTTTAATTCATATTCAGCACAATTAAAAGAAAAAATTTCTTTACATTTTAAACATCATCCTGTGCCTTATTCTAATTAAAGATTTAAATTATTTAAAAATAATAAAAAATTAATTACACTATGTTTCTAATTACACTTTAATTTTAACTACAGGAATTACCTTTGAACTACTGAAAATGATGAACTGGGCAATTCAACATCTATATTTTCATCTTTAGGTGCTGCAGTTCCTATTAATTGAGTAACAAAGAGATCTATTTCATGCTTGTAACCATGACGACCTGTTTGATCATAAAATAATGGGTCTGATGTTTCAGATACTCCATTGTCATTTGCATAGGTTTTATACCTATAAAGCCGTAAAATTTGTTTGTTATTCATTTTAATTATTTGTTAATAAAAAAAAATATAGATATTTTTTTAATTACAATGAAAGTCCTAAAGTAGTGTTACGAGGACTGTTAATTTCTAATGATCCAATTTCTGTTTCTACTTTGTAAGAAGATATTGGATTAAATGTACTAATATCATTAAGTTTACCATTTTTGTCAAAAATTCTTATTGCTCCTGGAACTTCACCTCCTTAAATTAATTAATTGTAATATTTTATTTGAAGTGTGTAAATGAATTTTTTCATAGTTTATTATTATAATAAATGTATATTTTTAAAAAATATTACCATAAGGAATTGTCCATTTTCCAACTGTTACAAATGATCCATTATATCGCTGTAACCCTTCTTTTATAAATACTGTAACTTTAACATTTATATCTTGAAAATAATTAAGTATTGAGTAACGAAGTCTTAAAATTTCTCCATCAGTCATTTTTCCATAAATCTGTTTAAATTAATTAAAATTGAAATGATTATAACTATTTAATTATATTGATAATGTATTACTTGTGTGAAGTTATGATGCACTATGTTAATAACCTGTTTTAACCGAGTTTTACTTGTTATTAATCTAACAGAATCTAAATGATTCAATGTTATATGTAATATTTGTCTTGGTCCATTAGCTGAGTACATTTGCATTTTGACTGAAGTTTCAATTAATCCCATTAATTTTTCCATGCTAGAATCGTTAAGTCTCATTATTGATGAGTGTATAGCATCACTTAAACTTTTAGTAATTTGTTTTCTAGTATGAATATGCTTCTCAGTAAATAAGGATAGGTTACTACTAAATGCTGCTGCAACTATGTCATTTAAAACTAAAACATTAAAATAAAAATTTTACATGGAAGTTTTAGAAAACACGAAGAAATAATTTTTGTTCAAAAAAGTTATTTTTTATTAGTTTCCAAATTTAGTAATACCATTAATTAAACAAACTAGTACAGCTGAATTCAAACTATTTATTATAGTATAATATATAAATTCTTTATATTTTTATACTGTAGCTTGTTTGACGCCTTGCATTAATTGATTGTTATTAAAACTTTTGAACAATTTTAAGTTTACTAAGTTCACATACCTAATATTGACTTATGTATAGGGATTTTTTGGGTTTTTAATCTTTCTGCCACGACATAAATCATTTCACTTACTAAGTTCAAATATAGAATAGAATATAATTTTGAATTCATTTTGTGAATTATTATTAATAATAATTATTTATTCGTTTTTCTTTACGAAAATTATTGTATTTTAAATTAAGTTTTGTTAATGTTAGAGTACCATGGTAACGGCGATGTGTACAAAAAACATCCATAACAATTATTAACCTTGACCCATATGTGTTAAAGATGAAATGTTCAAAAAAACAAAAAAAATGTTAGGTTAACTAAATGTATTAATTTACTCATTTTTTTTTTTTGAAATAACAGTGTCATACCAAAATTTTACATTAATAAAATTATTTATTTGGGTACAATTATTATACATTAAAACACATTTTGTCGTTATAATTTTGTAAATATTTCTACACGTTTTACAGAAATATAAATATCAGGATAAAGGACTTATTCAGTTTAAAAGATTGTAAATCGATTTCATTTCCATCAATTCGTTTGTCAATTATTTTCTATTTTTTACTCCTCCAATAACAACTAAGTTTAAATTTTTATGAATTTTAACAGGTAACACATGATATACCAAACGTGTGTTGTTACTCAAGTTTGAATTTTTTGGAAATTTATGTTATTGTGTACTTTGAGCTGGTATAGTAACCATTAAGGCCAATGAAAAGATAATCCTTATTTAATTGGTACACTCAGTTTTAATATTTTACTTAGTTGCTCCATAAAAAATAAATAAGCCAAGACTTTAATTTTTGTATTCACGTAAATAAAACATTATATTTAAGAACTATAATATAAGTTTTATCTAAATGTTTACAATAAGCAAAAATTTTAAACTTCATTTGTTTGGTTAGCAGATAGTTTTTAATTTCTAGTGTAATAATATATAGATAGTTTGAAAGAAATTAGTACTTTTTTAGAAAGGATTTAATGTTATCCCCGTATCCATAGTGTAACACATAATAACAAACAAATTTTGTATTTAACCGGGATGTAAATTAAAATTTGAATTTTACAATAATTATTATCGTAAGTAGTCAGCCATTTTGCAACAGTTGTTGAAAAAACACCTGAAGCAACGTTGCCGTCAAAGTATTGATAAGAACATATTATGTAAATTTTTAAATTTGAAATAAAAAAGTTAATTTTTTAGTTAAATTAATTTATACTTACGTTGAAAATTTCGTGTAGTATTTATTTAATAGATTTTTAATACTAAAAATAGTATTTTATAATTTTAAAGTGTTATTACAAAGAAATGGCGGTTAGTGTTGGCAACGTGGCTACTACTAGATTTCTCTCATATGTCCCCTACCCATCACTTCCTATCCATAAGGTTCACCTCAACAAGCGGCCTGTCTCCCGCACTAACACTGATCGGTAGCGTAACGTTTGTTTACACTTTGCGTTGCAATTCGGTGTATATTATTTTATGAAAATTCTTTTCGGTTTTTGTGCTAGTTTGCCTGTTATCGTCGACTTCATTTATAGTATCGCGGTTTCCAGATAATTCAACGTGCGGTGGCTAAACTTTTTTTTACAGTGAGTAATTATTGTTTAACCGTAGACCTAATTATGTCATATTAACGTTAGTATGTGAATTTAGCTTATACGTGATGTTAATCAAACGGACTAATGTGACGAGAAATGAAAAGGCATTCGGATGAACTCATGGCGTCCGCGGACACAGTCGGAGCATACGCCACAGCCACCAACCGTTCACCTCCTAGGTCCAGGCCTAACCTGGTAACCATTTCTAATGTTGTGCAGTCAAGTTTTGTATCACAGTCCATAAATAATCCAAATATTCAATTTAATACTGTACAGCCTTACAGTACTCCAACAATGCCGGTTTTAGCAATTAATGAAAAAATGTCAGGCTCTTTACCAGGTGGTTCAACCATGCCTGCTTTGCACACCATACAAGCACAGCATTCAATTCAACATATCAGGCAGAAAGTTGTACCATCAACCATTATTCAACAACAGCAACAGCAACAAACTCAATTTCAAAGGCTCAAGGTTGAAGATGCCTTATCTTATTTGGATCAGGTGAAATTCAAATTTAGTAATCAGCCTCAAGTATATAATGATTTTTTAGATATCATGAAAGAATTTAAATCACAGAGTATTGATACTCCTGGTGTTATAACAAGAGTCTCTAACTTATTCAAAGGTCATCCAGAACTTATAGTAGGTTTCAACACTTTCTTACCACCTGGTTACAAAATAGAAATCAAAAACAATGAACTTGGTTTTCATGTTTCTGTCTCAATTCCGCAAAGTCCTGCTATTTCATCATCTCAAACAATCATTCACTCAACTACTCAACATATAATGTCTGGACCGCCACCAGCAGTCACAACTTCACCTGTTACTTTAACTACTACACCTCCTGTAGTAATAAAACCAGCTGTTCATTTACCAATAAATCAAGTGAATACCACATCTGTTGTTATGAATCACCATCATACAGTTCATAATAGTGTTACACCTACAGCTCCTTCAAGTACTTATCATCAACCTCAAATACCTTTATCTGTTGCAAGTTTAAGTCAAGTGGCGTCTGCTATTCCTCAAGTATCAATACCTACAACTCAGGAATCTACCAATTCCCAAAACCAACCAGTAGAATTTAATCATGCAATAAATTATGTTAATAAAATAAAAAACAGATTTCAGGGACAACCAGAAAAATACAAAAGATTTTTAGAAATTTTACACACTTATCAAAAAGAACAAAAGACACATAAAGATAATATTGTGCAAGTTGCAGGAAAAACTTTAACTGAAGCAGAAGTATATGCTCAGGTAGCAAAACTTTTTGAAAATCAAGAAGATTTATTAGCTGAATTTGGACAATTTTTACCAGATGCTACGTCTCATCATTCTTTTGGTGCTAAATTAACAGAACCTATAGTACCTCCTAAGAAGGCAGTTGTTGTGACTACTGCACCTCCTACTAGTATTGTACCACCCATTAAGAAGGAAAATCCTACAATAATTCCTATTGTTAAAGAAAATAGAGAAACTAGTGTTCAGAATGTATCATTGAAAAGAACTTCATCCTTCTCTTCCACTCAAAATTTACCTCCTCCTAAAAAACCAAAATCCCCATTTCCAAGCTTAGGAGATGTGTCTTATGTAGAAGCATATAAATATGGTACTCTTACAGATTTTGCATTTTTTGATCTTGTACGAAAATCTATTAATAACACTTCTGCTTATGATGACTTTTTAAGATGTCTTGTATTATACTATAATGAAATCATATCTAAGTCAGAATTATTAAATTTAGTCCAACCTTTTCTTGGGAAGTATTCAGAATTATTCAGAAGATTTAAAGAATTTATTGGAAGTAGTGAAAAAAGCAGTAATGCTACGACAGCACCTACAGAAAATAAGTTATCAGGTTTACCTCATCTTTCTTTACTTGATCATGGATCAAATCGTCAAGATCGATCAGCGGGTGATTTACCGACTGATATAGATTATAGTACTTGTAAAAGATTAGGAGCAAGTTATTGTGCTGTACCACCTGATTATCAACCTCCAAAATGTAGTGGTAGAACTAAAATGTGTTATGAAGTATTAAATGATACTTGGGTATCTTTTCCTACTTGGTCTGAAGAATCATCATTTGCTACTAGTCGGAAAACTCAGTATGAAGAATATATGCATAGATGTGAGGATGAAAGATTTGAACTAGATCTTGTGATGGAAATCAACTTGGCTGCAATTTATTCTTTAGAAGAAATATTAAGAAAATTTAGTAGGATGACTCCAGAAGAAGCAATGAAATTGAAATTAGATGATAGTTTGGGTAATGAATTAAGTTCAACTACAACTAATAGACGAGCTATTAAAAGACTGTATGGTGATAAAACAGCAGATATTCTAGAAGGTTTGAAGAAAAATCCAATGACTGCAATTCCTATAGTTTTGAAAAGGCTCAAATCAAAAGATGAGGAATGGAAAGAAGCTCGAAATACATTTAATGATATATGGAAAAGTCAAAATGAAAAATACTACCTTAAATCTTTAGATCATCAAGGTGTTAACTTTAAACAGAGTGACATGAAGTTTTTGAGATCAAAATCGTTATTAAATGAAATTGAAACTCTATATGATGAAAGAAATGAGCAAAATGAAAATTCTACAGGACCACACATGATATTTTCTTATACTGACAAAACTATTCTTGATGATGTAGCAAATTTATTGATACATCATGTTAAAAGACAAGCTAGCATAAATAAGGAAGATAAACAAAAAATAAAAACTTTGATTAGGCGATTTATTCCAGATATGTTTTATCATCCTAGACAAGAGTTGAGTGATGATGAATGTGATGGTCAAAATGATTGTTCTAATAATAATTCTCCTGAAAACTCTAAAGTATCATTACGTGTGTCCGAAGAAAAGGATCAATCTGAAGTAAAAATTACAGAGAGTGATAAATCAAAATTATCTGAGCATTCTAGCACAGATGAATGTTACACTTTATTTTTTGGTAATAATAATTGGTACTTGTTCCTTAGACTTCATTATATCCTATGTGATAGATTATCTCAAATGTATAAAAAATCAACTCAGTTGGTACATGAGGAATGTGTTTACAAAGCAACTAGGTCAGAATCTGCAGCAGCCAAATTGCGTCTTAATCCTAAATCAGAAATTGAAATTGAAGATTACTATCCAGCTTTACTTGATATGATTAAAAATGTTTTGGATGGAAATATGGATTCAAATACTTATGAAGATACATTACGAGAAATGTTTGGTATTCATGCTTATGTTGGCTTTACTCTTGATAAAGTTGTTATTTATGCTGTACGTCAATTACAACATTTAGTGTCTGATGAATATTGTCAAGATTGCTATCAAATATTTTTAAAAGAAAGTAAAAAAGGAGCAACTGGAGGCTTATGTAGTACAGCCCCTCAAAGAATTGCTCAAGAATCAGCATATCAAAGAAGAGCAGAAGCAGCTTTAAGTTCTGATAACAATTGTTATAAAATTTATATATATAAATATAACTGTAAAATTACATTTGAGCTTCTAGATACAGATACAGATGATAATCAAGACAGTGGTAAATGGACAAGTTTTGATAATGAACCATTGTCAGAAACTAATGACGAAAAACAAGAAGAAAACCAAAGTCCTAAAAACTAATGCTTAGTTTTGAAATTTTAATTTAACTAAGATAACATTAAGATATACTTTTATTTATTGAATTTTTTTTGTACAAAAATGTTTCTACTAAAATATGAAGCCTAATTTTATTCTTCTCTGTATTGGTTCCAAAATTTCGGATGCACAACTACTTTAAAAGGTATTTATACTTTAATAGAAACTACATAACAAACAATAAATTAAATATACAATATGATTTTATATGTATTTCAGATTATTTTTAGTGTATATGTATATATTCACATCTATATATTTCTCAATCGACATTTGATATGAAACTATTTGTTAGATATCCAAATATTTTTTCATAAAAGTGAGTAAAAACTTCTTATTGCTTTTATTTAAATAAAAAAAAACATGTATTTCTTAATTACATGAAAATTTAGTAACCAAAATTAATTTTTAGTATGTTTAAATAAGTTACAATAATTTTATTTCAGAAACTATGAAATTGTTGAGTTTGGGATGATTTATTGGATTAAATATTTCAAAATTAGTTAAGGTATTTACATTTGAAAGTATTAATCTATTTTTAATATATTTTTATCAATTGAGATCATAATAGTAAAATATGTATCAATAGCTTAGTGCAAAAAAAGAGTTGAGACAATTTTTTATTGAGAAATAAACAATTTTCAGTTTTTCCCTTTATTTACACTATAAAATCTATTTTTGTGTCAAGTTTCACGGAAAGTGTCTTATAATTTTGTTTATGAGTTTGTAATAACAATAAAAACATTGAATCATCCATTTCAAAATGGCTTAATATTAAGGATTAAATTTTTTATGATATTCTATGCTATTAGAGCCTAACTTATTTTTTAATTGTCCAAAATCCATTTTAAGAGGAAATAGAGATATAGGGGTTAAAGCAAAAGATGTACATAATTTTTATCATTTTTAGGAGGGCTAATATAAATGTATACTATGAAAATGCAATAACTTAGCTTTATAACATAATTTTATTGATAATATCGAAGAAAGTATTAAGATTGAAAGACTTACTTCTAGGTCAAATTTGTTTCATTCAAAAAATTCACTTTCATTCTAACCCTCACACATAAACTTTAATAAATTATATTAATACATAATTATTTTATTTAAATAATAAAATGCATTTCTTTAATCTATTATTATTTTTTTAATCAATGAATTTAAATTGAAACTAAGTAATTTAAGAAAGTTGGTTAATTTTTGGACTATAACGAATGGCTCTTATTAATTAATAGAAAATGATCTTCCAAAAATTATTAAAACTGTTTATTTTGATGAACTAATTTTATTTTATTTTTTCATTTCAGTTGACCAACTTTATTGGTATCAATGATTAAATGTTACTACACCAATACATATTGAAGTACACTCAAATTTATGCATTAAAATTTGTATTTCGTTAAGATATTTTTATGTATAGTAGTATTGTATGTATGTATATTTTCTATTTTAATTTTTTTAGATAATAGGTAAATGTTAATCAGTTACCAATGGGTGTATTTAAATACCCCAGTAGGAACAATTGGGAAAATTAAATGTTTCACTGTTAAAATTAACTAATGACAAACAATATTATTATCAACTAACATTTTTCATCTGTATATGTTATATAAATTTAACTTATTAAATGTATATTATATGTTTATCATGGTGATTAAGCCAATTATATTTAAAATGGGTTCTTCCATTGTGCATAAATTTGAAAATATGTAAACATCAAGAAATATGTAGTTATTTTGTTACAATTATTTGTATGTGTAGCCTATTTTTGATGTTGTAAATAGTTAATATATTTTTCAAATATAATATTTCTTAGCATGTAGAATTAATGGAATTGAAAATTGTATTAAATATGCCATAGCAATGTTAATTCAATAAATAGTGAACTATTTTTAGATTGTAGAATTTTTAATATGTTAAGGATAGAAAACATAAAAACTTCAAATAATTCAGTACCATTAATATCGTCTTTTTATTAATAAACATGATTTTCATGAAACTTTGATGTAAAATGTTCATACATAATTTTAAAGGTAAAGTTAAAATTGTATAGTTTGCTTTGTAATTATTTTATAGTTTGTCTATAACACTTAATTTATTTGGAAAGAATTAAAGTTTTATTTTATACTTTTTGAAATTAATTTTATACATTTTACCATTATTATTATATGTTAAAATTTGTATATAAATTATCAAAATATTTGCGATAATCGTTGTAGAAATTATTTTATCACTTCCTCTTCGTAAATATCTAGATAGTAAAAAAAAAAATTAATTTGTGGTGATAGACTTCAAATTTACTACTAAAATTAATTATAGATTAAGTAGTACTTATCTTTTAAAAAATTTTTTTTTTAAATCAGAGAAGTCACTCTTCTTTGTTTTCAGGTTATACTAAAAGAGTTACACTATTGTTAGTTCTTTTATATAAATCATTAAAACTGTTATTTGATGATTTATGTGAAAAAACGGAAGTTTTAGTGAATTAAAAAATATAGAATAGATTCTTGTTCTTTTAGTAAATAAAAATTGCTTGTTTTTGTTGGTAAGTAATACATAAACATTTATGTGTTTTAATAAATTAAAAATTCTTAACAATTTTCTATGGGAAAAACATTTGATAATGATGTTAATTTACAAAAAAATATATAGACTGGTTAGCCTTAAATGGTTTAGATACTGAAATAATTAAATAACACAATCACAGGTGCAATGTAAAATAATTTATTTTTGCTGCTACACACTTAAATTGAGAACATAAAAAATTATATAAGATTTTATAAATGATTTGTATTAAGATTTATTTCGTTTTAATTAACATTAACTTTTTTATGTATTATATGAATATGTTGTACAATAATAATTTACAATTTTATTACAAAAATTTAAATTGTTATGAATACTACACTGTTAATTTTAAGGTTAGTTTTGCCTGCTTACATTTAATTTACTTTTCCATGATCATTATTTATTTCGTACCCCTCTTGCCTATCACCAATATTACTTTTACAACTGCATGTCTCTTTTTCGTGGTGTATGACCACGTTATAAAGCTAGCGGAAAATTTCCTGTAATTTCCATTTGACGTAAATTTTATCAATTCAAATTTCTCTATGGCTCCAGCAGCTACAAAACAGGTAATTTTAATATTATAAAATATTTTTTATTTCAATTTATTATGACTAAAACGTGGCACTATAGTCATGTGTTTTTGTTTCAAGTTTAATTTTTTTTTTTTTTTTAATATTGGCATGTGCTTACATATTATAATTATTACATCTTTTTTTGTCTACTATTTTATTTAATATTAATCCTAGGGTGGGAAAGCCGGAGGTGGTGATAAAAAGCCTGCACCTAAGAAGTCGCAAGCGCCTCAACCAGCTAAAGCAAAACAAGATGCTCCTAAACCCAAGACCGAAACTATTAAGGTGCAGCCTAAGAAAGCTGAACCTGTTGTAGAACCCAAACAACAAATCAAAAAAGATACTAAGCAACAAGCAGCTCCTAAAACTCAAGCTGCGAAAGAACAACCCAAAAAGGAACAGGTAAATTATCTTTTAAACATAGGATATGATATTAATTTTATGTAAAATATATTTAATGTGTAGACACCAGCACAAAAGAAAGGTAGTCAAGATAGCAGTAAAAAACCTGCTCAGCTACCTAAGACTAGTGCAAAAGCAGAACCAGTTAAAGGTAACAATAAGATTGCTAAAGGTGATTCCAAGGCTACTAAGAAAACTGAACCAGAAAAACCCAAGGTTAAGGAACCAGAAGTGACACAGGTTAAAAAAGGACAACAAGCAACTGCACCTCAGTTGAAGAACAAGAAAGAAGAACCCAAAAAGGTTAAGGAAGAACCAAAAAGTAAAGCTGTTAAACGAGCAGCAGAGGAAGCTCCCAAACCTACTAAAAAGGATAAGAAAGAACCTGTTAAATCTGAAAAGAAACCCGAACCTACAAAGGCTGTCAAGAAGCAACCTGAAGCTACCAAAAAAGCTCCAGCTGCTGAGAAAAAACCAGCAGACAAGAAAACGGTTGAAAAGGAGACTGCTAATAAAAGTGCTCCACCTAAAAAACAATTGACAACTGCTGCTAGTATTAAGAAAACTGTTGCTCCACCTACATTAAAGAAAGCTCCTGGTGCTCCTTCAAAAGTAACTTTAAATAAAAAAGCAAATTCAGCACCAAAAAAACCTAAAACTACTCTTAGAGGTAAAGGCACGGCCTTGAAGAAGAAGAAGGAAACGAGAAAAATGACTATTGATTGTACTCATCCAGTAGAAGATAGCATCATGGATGTCAATAATTTCGTAAGTTTTTTGTAATTAGTAGTATTGAATATTTTCAAAATTTGTGTATTATTATATTATAATAGTAAACTCTTGTTTATAATTCCTCTGGGTGCAACCCAGAATTATAATAAATAACCAATTAAAATGTAAGTATATATTTTTTAATTTAGTAGTAATTAAAATTTTAATATCCAATGTTAAAAGATTTCTTTTAAGCCAATAGGTAGTTTCCTTTGTAGTAGTCTTATATCAACATTTAAAAGAATTATAACTTAATACATTCTAATGGAGGGGAAAAAGTTAAAACTATAGAGTGAGTAGGGTAAATGTAAACAAATGGGATAACTGTAAATTCATTTTTTCTTTTAGAATATTTAGCTTATTAAATATTAGATAAATAGTGCTGATCCTTATGTGTGTTGCTATCATATTAAATGTAAGTTTGAAATAAAATCTTTTGTATTTATCATAAAAAATGCATTTACAAATACTCTACATTACCTTTATCAATTAAATAAAAACTGTTGTTGCTGAATATTTTCAAGACATGTTGATTACTATTAACATTATTAACTGTTATTTTAAACAATTTATAATTTTAAACATTTAACCTAATAATAATCACAATCTTTGAATTAAATGAAATAAAATCATAAATTGTATTTCAGTGAACTGTATTAAAGATCTTTTATTTTCTAAAATTTTACATACAACAACCAGTTTTTTCTTTAAATTTTTATGTCTATTATGGTAAATAAAATTAGTTATTTACCATAAATTAGGTATTTTTAACATTTAACAATTTATTTATTTTTTAAAATTTTTGATTTATTCATGAGTATTATATTTAAAGTGTATAAAATAATATAATATATAATAAAACTTTTAATTTAAGTGTATAAAATTACTCATTACTACTATATATATTATAATATTTAGTTTAATCATAATTTGGATGAAAAGTATTTGTTTAATCACAAAATAGTGTATAAACAAAATTAAGTGCAAGAAAATGATAAACATTTTTGTACCTAAAAGTAATTTTTACAAAAAGTGGTGAGATATTGTTGCTAATTAAATAATAAATTGTTTTTAATGAAAAAGCTAATAACTAGTAAGGATAATTTAGTAAATTGAATATTTATGAGATTTATCATTTAATATAAATGGAACCAATTTATTTACATTTCAGGAAAAGTTCCTCCAAGAGAGAATAAAATATAATGGCAAGACAAATAATTTCAGTAATGTCATTTCTCTGGAGAAAACAAAAACGAAAATTTTTGTCAATTCAGATGTACCTTTTACTAAAAGGTAATTAATTATTAGTTTTTTTCTAAATAATTGTTTTGAAGATTATAAGATAAGAAATTATTTTCTTGTTTAATAGAAAAAACACAAGCTTATTATGTTTATTTCTTTTGTATTTAAAGAATATCAATCTAAAATTTATAATTAAATTTTTCAGGTATTTGAAATATTTAACTAAAAAATATTTAAAGAAAAACAATTTGAGGGATTGGTTAAGAGTTGTTCATAGTGGACCTGATAGCTATGAACTCAGATACTTCCAGGTAAACTTAAATTTAAAGTTTTACATTTAAATACTCAAAACAATGATTTCAAAAATGTCCCAAGTAAATTTTTAATAACTAATATTAAATAAAAACTGTGTACAATAAAAAGGATAGGATCAACCAGTGGTTTACTTTCCAAGTCATTACGTTTAATAATTATGTTAATATTTCATAAAAAATGTAATTGATTTAAAATGTTTTAAAAGCTAACTTTAAAAATTGTAATTTATAAATTAAATTTTTTATTTAATTAAAAAATTTCTGAAAATATATTGTTTGGTGTAGAACTATATTATAAGTGTCCTACATTGTTTTTACAATTTATCATTAAAAAATATGTTGATTTATTAAAACACTACTAATAATTCACGACTTACAAAATTGTGTCTTAAAAAAAAATTATCCTAATGTTAATTTATGTTTTACAGATCAATAATGCTGAAGACGATGATGAAGAAGATAATGCTGATTAAAAATAGAACTTAAATTTTATTTTTAATTATTTGACCTTGTACATCATCTTGATTAATAAAAATAAAATAATAAAAAATAAAAAAATTTACTTATATCAATTTATTGATAGTTAAAAAATGTTAAAACTTTTTTTTTAATTGATTCATAATTTTTGAAGTGTTATCATTTACAAATGATTTTCATAAGTAAATTTGAGTAAATATTGTCCATTTCACTTTGACTTAAATACATATCCTCGCACGGTTAATGTCTCTTGAACAAGATTTTAATCTAAATTGTAGTTTATATAATTCAAAATTACTAATATATTAGCAACTGAAAGAAAAATCAGCATGTCAAAGACTTAGATATATTTTTATTACTTATTTTATTTGGGTAGTGTTGAACAAAAACTGTCCAGTTAGAACAAAATATATGAGGTAGGATGTAAAATCACTACAAAAACTACAAATTTTGTTAGCAATTTTTTTTATTCGTTAAATTCTAGTTCTTTTTATCTTAGCTATATTTCATCTATAATGAAAAAACAAAGAATTTTAAGTTAATTATAATTGAGATTATTTATAATGAGCATGGGTATAGCTTGAACATTTTGTATATGGGGCTTTTTTATGATCTTCTTAGAAAGTTTCTTCACTCCACTTTTATCACACCCTTTTCTTAAATAATTCAATTAATTTATGGGGACTAAAGCAAACATAAATTTTTTCAGGGACTATATCCCATGCAAACTACACTTATGATGAGTATTAAGTTCTTAGAATAATCCCTTGGGATTTCTTTGGTAGTTTTGATTGGTCAATTTAATTTTTGTTCTTTCTAAAATGTAATAACAATCTTGCAAAATATGCTAATTTTTCTAGATTTAGTTTCAATATTTAATTCTAATTTTCATATAGTCGTTAATTAGTGTTGTTTGTGTGGTTCCTTATACACGTAGTCGCAATCTAAACTGAATTATGGGAGAAGGTAAAATAAGTATCAAGTAAAAACAATGTGCTTTCGTAGAAGCTCCTATCAAGTCAATTAGACTTATGACAGAATGAAATTATAGACATCTCAGACGATTTTATCAATTTACGCTCATGTAATTGTTTAGTATTTAGTGATATATGACAGCTTTCTTATCAGAAATTTTTAAAATTTAAGTAGAAAATATTTTGTTATATTAATATTTATGAATGCTTTCTTTTTGAGATAATGGAAATCCTTATTTTTTAATTTTTGGGGGTGGGGGAACGGTTTAAAATGAGGTTTTTAGTTTAGATAATTAAACTTTGATCAAATTTTATCTAATTTCAAAAATACATTTCAGTAATCAGTTAATATTAAAAAAATAATGTATTTTTTTTTTGAAAAAAGAATGTTTAGGTGACTATTGAGTTTCCTATGATTCATAACTTAGGAAAACGAAAACTATCGTAATGAATAAATTACGTCAATAACTTTTATAAAATTTATAAAACAAAGAACAGTATTTTTACAAATTAGTAGACAGTTTTTATAAACTGCGTAGTATGAGATAGTATTCAATAACAACAGCTGATGATCCTAAACTCGAAAACCAGTATTGCCAAACATGAGCTCATTTAAACCAAATAATAATACCATATAACAAAAAATTAACACTCTTATTATATAATTGAAGCATATGTAGTTTATAAATATTATATCTTATAAATGTTTTTAGTTATTTTTTTATGAAATTCTATTTTATTTTTAGTAATTGTGTCTTTTATAAAATCGATAAAATGGACCATGTTGGTATTTAATGCATCAGCTGTTGAATGACTCCCCCTTCCCATGAAAATATCAAATCCCACTTCTATTTTATCCCTAAACAATGCAATTTGTCTTTGTTATTATTCATACGAACGTATAAACATTTGTATGTGCTTTCCGTGTTTAATTGGATTTAGTCAGTTGAAGTATTGTGTATTAAATAAAATTATGAAGTTCCAATACAAAGAAGATAATGTGTTCGAGAAAAGAAAATCGGAAGGCGAGAAGATCAGAAAGAAGTACCCTGATAGAGTTCCTGTAAGTTTATAAGAATTAATAATTATTGCGCGATAAATAAATTACTGTTTATTTACTTTCATTTGATTTATTTTTATCCTAAACGAAGGTCAGTTTTGTATATAACTTATTAATGATCTTGAAATTATTAGGTAATAGTGGAGAAAGCTCCAAAATCTCGAGTTGGCGAACTTGACAAAAAGAAGTATTTGGTTCCATCTGATTTGACAGTTGGTCAGTTTTATTTCCTCATTAGAAAACGAGTACATTTACGTCCGGAAGATGCTCTTTTCTTTTTTGTCAATAATGTCATTCCACCTACAAGTGCTACAATGGGATCTTTATATAATGTATTTTTAATTTTATTTATAGCATTCTTTTTCATATTTAAATATGTTAATATTAATAAAATCATTTTACAGGATCATCGTGAAGAGGATTTCTTTTTGTATATTGCTTACAGCGATGAAAATGTCTATGGTTAATTAATTGAATTCATAAAAAAAGGAAAAATTGATTATTTAAAAAAATTGTTGGTTTATTCAAATGTGTTTCATTATATAAATTATAAACATTATGTTCATTGTATTATGTATAAAAAAATATTTAAAAATATAATACACACATATTGTTATATTATCTATTTGCTCTAATTTGTCTTGAAATATTAACTATCTAATATATTTGTAATTATGAATATTATTTTGATTTTTCTATTTCTATCATGATTATTTTATTTTATTTTTGTATTATATTCTAGTTAATGTATTAAAGTGCTATTATTTATTTTTAAGTATATAGCAAACAAAAACACATTTAATTTTGATTATTATCATTACCTTGTACAAAGTAAAAATATAAATATTATAATGTATATTTATTATTTATTCACTTATTGTTTTAAGTCTCCTACTAGTTTTTTTATTTGATCATAATAACATGACATTGAACTAATATCCTTTTTTTGTAAAATAAACATTATCATTAGATATATAATGTTTATGATATTTACTAAACTTCTAATGTTAATTTTTGAAGGTTTTTAATTTGGAATATGTAATTTCGACACAGTGATTTTTTGTTGTACAAAAAAGACTATTCCTGAAATGTTGAAACTTTAATGCATAAGTCTTTAAATTTAATGTTAAGAAGTTTATAAAAATGTAATGGTGAGTTTTTTTTTGTAGGGTAATTAATTATAGGTACTATTGAATTTTAAATCTTCTTAACAGATATGTTTTTAGAACTAATTACTGAAATCGTGAGAAAAGATAGCATTGCAATTATTTTTTATTTCGTAACTGTTCAATAGCATAAAATTGAAAATAAGTTTGAATGATTAACTTTATATAAAGTTCAGAACATTGTTCGAGATTTACTGTTATAATTGGTATATTAGAAAGTCAAAATTAGGATTCTTTCTAGCCTTTATCCCAATTTTTTATACTCCCCATCAGTCGCCCGTATCCAAAAACCCCTAAGTATGGGTCAAAATAAGAATTAAATTTTCATAATAATTTTATACGTTATTTAATATAGTTATTTGATTTCGTATATTAAAAAGTTAAAATTTGAAATAATATCTACATTGTTAATTTATTTTGGAAAGTTAATGTAACTGGATCACTTGCCTTAGTTACTGTTTTTTTTTTTATCTTCTTCTTGAATTTATTTATTAACTGATATTATTTTAATATAAGCTCTGGTATCTGTGTTTATTGAAACAAATACTTTTTAGTTTACCAGTCATAAAAAATATAAGTTCTTCGATTTATAATACTCCCTTTAATAGTTTTCATTTTTACTTCCATGATTTCTTTATCAATGTTCACGAATCTATGGTAAGTGAATTGTTGACAATGTTCATACTTTTTATAGTTGTTTAGTTACACATTTCTTTTCCCGTTGTTGGTACGAGAGAGGTAAAGCTTTTTTATCCATTTTAATCTAGTTTATTTCTCTAAATTATTAGTTCATGTTAGTTATTAATTTTTTGTTACACATTAATATGAATTTTATTGTTTAGAATATCAACCATGGGTCAAAGTGTAGTTTTTAGGAGACGTCTTTCTTACAACACTAAGAGCAACCGACGGCGTATGTATGTATTAAACGTAATTCAATTTTTACGAGCGATGAATTAAATATGTATTAAAATTTTATAGGGTACGTACACCTGGAGGTCGTTTAGTTTACCAATATCTTAAGAAACCTAAGCGTGTACCTAAGTGTGGTAACTGTAAAGTTAAATTGCATGGTATCAAACCAGCTAGAGCTATTGAGAAAAGCCGTATGTGCAAGCGTAAGAAGACTGTGAAACGTGCCTATGGCGGAGTTTTATGTCACAAATGTGTTCGAGAAAAGTAAGTCCAATATTCAGTGTATATAATTTTTAAATAAAATAGCTAACAATCATTCTTAGAACAAATTGTATTTGTGTTTAGTTTTTTTGGAACTAAACAAAAAAATATTGCTACATTTAAAGTGATTTCTATTATGATTTAATTAAAATATTTTGTTAACTAACAAACAAAATTATCTCTAATTTATATAATTGAATCTTTCCATTGAATTTTCTATAAAAAACATTAAACTACAAATTGACACTCTGAAAACACTTTTATTTCGCTTTCTTCTAATTTAATCATTTAAAAAAATTATTATCTCATAAAAGATACAAATGGGAGTCAAGAAGATTATGTCATTATAGTTTCTATGATTTGATCGATACAAACTCCCTAAATTATAAATAGCATTTGAACATTCTTAGAATAATCAAGATTTTATCTAAGGCTACAAATTGCTTTACATTTTTGAACTATTTTTTGTCCTTATTCATGTATTAATATATTATTACATTTCATATTTTAAGAGTTAAAAAATAATCAAACAAAAAGTTAATAGCCATCTACTCTATTTTAACTTTTTTTTTTTTCAATCAACTTTTAGTGAATTTAAATAATAAAATTATTTTTCCTATATTGAATAATTATTTAATGTAAATAATATCTAATTTTTAGAATGTTAACAACCAAAAGAATAATAATTATATTTACCAGATATATTAAATGACATGCAATATAGTTAAATTTATAAACTAATATTAAAATTATAATAATACTTTTTATTATTATAATATTATAATTAATGAATGTATTTATTAATTTCTGCTAGTTGAATATGTTCACAGTTTTAATTAGCTTTAAATTGTTTGATTTTAAATAACATATTTAAAACTAATGGTTTTATCTTCATTTTTTTTAGGATCCTCCGAGCATTTTTAGTTGAAGAACAGAAAATTGTTGTGAAAGTTTTGCGTTCTCAGAAAAATTCAGCTAAAAATAAGTTGAAGTCTAAATGATTTAGTTTGACTATTGATGAAAATAAATGTTAATTTTATAACTGATTCTTTTTATTGATAATATTAATTCTATGTCTCCTTACTTATTTCTTACTTGAAGTCATTTTACTTTTGATTTTGACAATTGACTTGAAAATAAGTTAGTTATATCAAAGGAGTACCTTTTAACATGTATAATTTATTCTTAAATATATTTATTTATAAATATATTTGTTATTGTTCAAGCCAACTGAATAAGTCTTATACTTAACACTAAACAATTCTATACATTTAAACAAATAATTTATTTCATATTATGATTGCCAACTATTTGTTATTCTTATACCAAAAAGCAAAAAGAAAATATTATTCCTTAAGTATTTATGACCATTAATATCTCAAATTTTATAAGATGGCATTGTAGTGTTTTGGATCAATTTTTGATAAGATGCTCAATTTCTCAGTAACTTGAAAATTGTTATTAAAAGAAAAACAATTTCATTAAAAAAATATGTATACATTTTAGGTAGTCAAATGTATTTTTACCTCATCAGGGATAAATAACCTTTTTATATCTAGATACATGAGAGAATCATACAAATTTCGAAATAAAAATAGCACATGCTTTTAATTTCCTGTCATTATTTTGAACTGCTAATATCTTTTGAAAACTTATCCAAAATTCTTAAGCAACCATTTATTTTCTCAATTATATCAATATCTATTGAATAAGCTACTTAACTATGTATGTTGCTGTTTAAAAAATAAAGTTCACATCCTTATAAGATAGGAGATATGTATAAAAAATTATGTAATTAAAAAAAAAAGTCAATATATTAATTTTATTATTAATAATCAAAGATAAAAGAATTATTTAGTATATAAACAAAATTAGTGAAAGATTTACTTAAAAAATAATTTTTTAATGCATTAAAAATTGTAATAATTTTGTCTAATTATGAAGTTAAAAATATTAAAGTTAAGATATTCTATCCTAGAAAGGAGAAAAAATATTTATACTACATAATACATATGTTTTGGATCAAATGATTTGTCTGTTAATAAAAATTAAAAACTTTCTGTAGTAGCTCAGTAGTGTTTTACTTAAAAGTGATCTTTGTAATATTATGTCACTTATTTGATAAATTAAAGACACATGTATGCTAAATATATAACATTTAAATATCTTTTGGATGGGTCTGTGTTTGTTAATATGTATGAAGTACATAATAGATGTAGGTAATAAATTGATAAAAAATTTTGTCATTTTACTTGAATGGGGATTTATACTTGTTTAAAATTTGGTAAATATTCAATGACACTTCATTTACATTTAATATTAGTGTTTGCCAAATTTTTGGGCACACTAGAAAGTACTTTTAATAATATTTATTAATTAAAGCGATTTTATATTTCTTATGTCATTTTTTCTTTAAGTTCACGTATCTATATAATTCTGTTGAAGTGGGTTCTATTTAGTTTTAATTTTAATTTTTAATCTGTATATATATTTTGAGCTTAGTACTATTTTTGGAATGGATATTTTTTTTTAGATAACGTTTTGTATAATGCAAATCTAAATAACCATTTAATTTTTCTATTGATTTGGTTTTTTATTTTTATTAATAAAATAATTTATAATAATTTGAATAATGCATGTAATAATTGCAATTATTCCGATTAGTCTAAACGCCATAATGCTACCCAGGTTGTCAAATGTATAACCGGCAATTGCTGCTCCTAAAGACGCTCCTAAAAAATAATTGATAAGGTCATTTTTAAATAGTAGATATTTTGATTAAATAAAGAAATAACTTACCAAATCCATGAAATGCCATAGAAAAAAGTCCTTGAAGTGTACCTTCACTTCCAGTTGGAGCTATTTTTGCAGCATAAGACACTCCTGCGATGTAACTCAATCCAAATGTAACACCATTTAATGTTTCCACTGGCAGCACCCATAACGGATCTCTTATGACGGAGTATAATAAAAATCGACATGCAAACAAAGCAAATGATAATGAGAATCCATTCATATGACCAGTATGTTTAAGGAGGTAACCTATACAAAAATTACTGAGTATAAGTAAAAAGTTTATGAAGAAAAATGCCACCATCAAATTTTAATCTTATGTATCTTTACCCAATTAATTGTTTTATTTGAACTCATAATTTGGAAATTTGATTTTGAATATAGCTATAGATTTTAGCTTTGATGTGAAGCTCAGAAGAATAACTTTTTGAAATTGGTTGAATCAGAATAATTTTTTATAGATACCTTAGATATTTTCCATTATTTAGTACAAATTTTTCGAAAATCTTATCCTTTAATGCCCATAGAAGAAATTCAAAATAGCAAATTTTTCTTGTAAAGTTAACCTTTTCGAATCAACTTTTGGAAATGTTCCGGAAATACTACGAGCATAAAAACATGCTAAAAATTAAATTTTGTGTTACATACTATAAGTACTAAAAAATTATTGTTTTTCGACCCTTTACCTTAATACAGGGGGAATTCAAGTTATAATAATGCATATAGAAAGTAGAACTTCTTCAACTTAATTTTTAAACGTGTTCCGGAAATACTGACTTTTTTTTATATATCTTAAATTTAAATTTATGTAATATAATACATTATTATAGAAAAAGAAAAATTTCAGATTTTAGTTTGTTTTCATAATGAAAACTAACAACAAAAATTAAAAAAAATATGATTTTTGTAAAAAAATTCTTATTTATATTTTTAGATTAATAATTTTATAACTTTTTGAAAAATATATGGATCAAGTTTTTATGATAATACTATTTTTATATCTTTTTCATTCGACTTAATTTCTTTTTAAATAAAACCATATCTCTTTATATATTTATATATTTATATATTTGTTTATATATTATACTTATAAATCATAAAACTTGTAATCAGGATATAAATAAGGAAATGGGAGATCATGTAGCTTTTGAAATAATACACCATTTTTTTTTAAATTAAACACTATCTACAAATTTGTATCGGAGCGTTTTTTATAATAGTGATTTTAATCACTGTCAGATATCATTATACTTGATCCAACTATGCCACGTCTCCACTGTGCTGAATTTTTTTCAATGGCTATTTTTTTGATTTTTTTTGTAAAAAAATTGCTTTTTATTTGGATTTATAAATTAAAAGAATTGAAAGAGGACGCAATTTTAAAAATTATTCGGAACACGCACATGTATATTCAGGTACATGCCGGGCTATTTAAACTACACGTGTCATTACAAAATGGTAGCTTTCTCGGTATGGTTTACATATTTGCTAACATTCAGATGAATAAAATAGATTTTGATAATGAACTAGCACTTATAAAAAAAATAGCCAGATTTAATGGATATGATGAAAACGTAATTTCAAAATTATTTCGAATTCAAAAGTGGAGTAAAGAAAGGAAAGCAGCTAGTACACTCATTAGGAGGGGGAGGAAGTATTTAAGTCGCCCATTTTATATTATCCTGTCATTTTAAATGGGTTAAAAAGAATTTTTATGAATTTTGGTATTACTTTAGTAACACCTAAGGATAATAATTTAAGAGATTTGTTTGGCAAACCTAAAAATAAAGTTGAAAAAGGGGTAAATGGGACTTTTACAAAATGTTATGTGAAATTTCTGATAAACAAATAAGAAACACTAGAAATCAAGTAGTTGATATATCTCCTGTGGCTGAACATTTATTAAAACAATAAAACTATTTAAAAACGTATATAATTACAAAGAACTTAATATAAAGGAGGCGTTAGCAATCTTTTTTAGAAATAAGAATAATTTAATAAATTAGTATTTTAGCTCACTGAGAAATGTATTAAATTTTTGTAAACTGGCTAAATGTTTTAAACGATGTCACTTATTGATAACGTTACTAGATGTTAAGATCAGTAGAGGTATATAAAGGAATATTTTTCAATTAAGAAGTAAGTATGTATTAAATGCTGGCGGAGGTAACATTGTTTACCGAAATATGTATAGTCGATTTTATAGTAATTTTTGTAGATTTTCAGTTAAACACTTTTTATATTTTTTAGTTATAAATTAAAATTTTATTTTATATATTTTTAATAATATATTTTTGATTTTATGAATTTTATGAATTTTAATCACAAGTGATCAATTTTTTATTATATTATCTACAGTTTGCATCGAAGCGTTTTTTTATGATGATGATATTAATTATTATCAGATATCATTTATACTTGACCCAATTATACCGGACTCTATTGCGATGGAATTTTATTTTATATTAAATGTAAAACACTCTACTTATTTTGTAAGTTTTTGATATATATAAATGATTGCAAAATGAGAAGAGTATTTTTTTTTTTTTACCAGATAAATAAAAAAACGGAACTTCGCCTCCTAAACATTCGATCGTAAGGGATAGCCCTTTGATTGTATGCAACACAGACTTTCGTTCTGGATGGTAAATAGTTGCTAAATCATCAACGTACCTTTTAAAAACAAATTCATTTATTGTTATTAGTTATTTATATAAATATATGATTACATAACCAAATTTAGATAATTCTAAATTATAAATAGTACTATCTAAAATTTTATTAATAAAACTTCAAAGCATAGGCACAAATAAGGGTTACTTTGACTGCTTAGTACTTTCAGAGATGCCATTAACACACTTAAGAATTTTAGAAAATTATATTTATGGTTGTAGGAAAATATTTTTAAAGTAGGGTAGGGATCACATTCCGCACCTTCAAAGTTGTTTTATTATTTGCGTCTATGCTTAGTTGTGTACTAATTTAAGTTACCCTAATATCTTTTTTATTTAATTAATATAATTTTATAGATCAAAACAAAAGTTTAAATTTAAGTGATTTAACATTCATGGTGTCTTATGACTCTAACCAATTGTACACTCCCCCCTCTCCGAAATAATTAACGAGTGTTTTCTTATATGATATAAATAACAATAAATATATCTTGAACGTAGTCTAAGTAGGCAATAATTATTAAAAAAAAATCATATTAATATTAAATCAAATGTTCTAAGAGATGTCAGAGCATAATGTGACTTCCTATTTATCTCAATACTATTTTTGTTCGGTAGTTACAGATCGTAGTTTTTTAAATATTTGACTGGATCGAGATTTTTCTTTCTATTTTGTCACGATACTGTAAATATAAACATTGTACATGTTTCCTTACCAGATAAAGTAAAACCAAATGTACGCGCAAAAAATACCACCGGCTACTGCCCAAACTAGAAACACGCATACTTTGGCGCTATTTATTACTTTTTTGACATCTTTAAGGATATTTTCTGTTGATCCATCGCTTTCGGGTACCTAACACAAATTGTAATTATTATAAATCAATATAAATATCGATGTTTGATTTATTTACGAAATGGATCAACTTAATAGGTGTAAAAAATACCTATCGATAAATGAAATTTGTAAAAATAATTATGATTCATAAGTACAAATTGTAATATATTTTCAAAGGTGTTAAATGTAATTTCTTCTCTTTAAAAATGATTTTATACAAAGTGTCCCAGATCTACTTGGCGACGCTTAGAAAATAGAATAACACTTGATCACTCTAACAATATTTAACATTTCAAAATATATTTAAAATATTAATTAATATATATATATATATATGTAATTCAAAAATGAACAAAAAATAACATACACATATCATATCATACATAAACACATAGTGATGCTAAAAACTTTTCGTACAATTTGGCTAATTTTTTTTTGTTTTTGTATTTTTATATTACTCTTAAGGCTTCTTATTTATTACTAAAAAAAAAAATTATTATTATTTTTTTTTTAGTATTTCATTATTTTTCCAAAAATCCGGTAGTTTTTAAACTTTACTTTTGATAATGCCTATTATTTTTATTGTAATATTAATAATTATTGACATTAAAATATAAGTTATAGAATTAATTATATATAGTTTTTAATAATACATTTTTTTTCTCTTTGGGTTTGCAAATAATTAATTTATTAAAATAAATAAGTTTATCTTAAGAGTACAAAATGTGTACAAAATATAGACACTTTTTTCAGTAGTGCACCATCATCAAGTTAACTTGATCAATAACTATTGATTGTAAATTTAATTAAATTTGTAAAAATTTTACTTCAGCGATTTACTAGATTATTTATTGACAAGGCTCCGCCTAGCTAAAATTTGATGAATTTCAAACGCTCGTAGCAGCCAGAGTTTTTGTCGGATTTTCCGATTTTTGGCGCTTCCTCAGCACGCACAAACGCCTTGGTATGATTGCCAATCGTAAAAAAAATCGTTTTCATGTCGTAAAGTGTCGCAAGAACTTCGGGCGGCTTGCCCTGGTGTCTCGACCACATGAAAAAAAAAAGCTCGTAAAACGGTGAAAAATGAACGAATTGAATTGATTTTTTTATCATATCTCAAGAATGTCGTTGGGCGGGTCTGATAAAAATTTCAAACCTTAAGTCGTAAAACGCTGGCGTCAGCGAGCGTTTTTTTCGAAAACGGTAGAAATTTTAAAACGCTTGCGTGCGAGCGGCAAAAATTTTCCGACTTTCGCCAATAATTTTTCTGGAGTCTGGTGACCGAGTACTTTCGTTGAAAAAAAAAATTTTAAAAATCCGAGCACGCCAAGTCATTTTTCCAGAAAAGCGTTATTTTCCTTGTTCTATTATATAATAAGATTTACTTTTTGTTTATTTCATGTTTCATTTACTTAACGGTTTTTTGTTCTTGTCAGATTCATTTAATTATTAATCAGTAACCTGATAATGGTGGAATACTAAAATTAGTAACTACTTTTTATACACATACTTTTTGGTTTAGCTTAATTTTTTTATATTGTATAAATATATTAACTATTTACATATTTTTTTTATTTATTAAAATCTTCTTCTTCTTCTTCCTCTCCTTAATTCCAACTATTTGGGATAGTCCACCCTTATCCTAAACTTCCATTTGATACGATTTCCCACATCAACTGTCCTCATATCACGTTTTTTTTGGTCTTCCTAACTTAGGAAACTATTTAGTTAAATTCATGGGACATTCGAGATTAAAATTTTTAGGCAGAATAAATTTGGTAAATTTAAAACATAAATTACATTACAATTTTACTTTGGTTAATAAAATGGGCTAGGCAAAAATTAATATTAAAATGACAATAAACACAATACTATGCGATAATTACAATATATTAAATGTATTATAAACGATTTTTTTAAATCATAATTATTAATGAAAATTCTTTTAACTGATATAGATCTTTAATACTCATAATGTCAGATTCAATTTGGGTGGAATTTTGTATAAGGGTAATTGCGCTTCTGCACTTTGTTTTAGCGTCACTAAATTGAGTTACAAGCATTTTAATATATAATGTAGAAATGTAGTGATACTGGGGATGTTGCTCGTTCTTAATATAAACTATCAAATTAAAAGATTTTGTAGTTAGGATTGTGTGTTTTGTATTAAGTTTTTGTTAGTGACATCAAAAATTCTAGGGGGTACAAAAAGCAACTATTGACTATCCCCTTCGAGCATCTAAGTCATGACTTCTACTTTACATACCTTTAATTTTCGTGCTATCATAAAATCAACGAAAAATATGATCATTGAAAGCAAATATCCTGGTAGATGGTTTTTATGTTCTTGGCCCTTGCTGTACCAGTCAATTATACATCCCGCTATAATTGACGTAACACCGCATCCAACGGCTCCCCATAGTCTTTGTTCTCCAAATTTTTTCGTATCTCCGTCTGTTAAAAAAATAGAACAATATGTAGGAATAGTACATTAATTTGTTTAATTTAATTGGATGGACTTTATTTTCTGTAAATCAATATTTATGTTGATTTATACATCTATGTACTATCCATGATTACTTGCTAGAACAAAAAAAGTTCATATTTTTTTCTTAGTTAAGTTTATGAGAGGTTTGTTTGGGTTGGGTTTTAGACTCATTTTAAGTCCTTTCATTTGATAAACACTTTTATTTGTCTGTTGATATTTGAAATGAAAATAAGTTAATCATATTATTTTTTTGTGTTACCTAGAATTTGCATACAGATCGTTTCCTGAAGAACTTCACCAATCATACAAAGTATCATCCTTAGTATGACTATTGTTGTGAACAGCCAAAACGTCCAGGTACAAAATACTTCCGAGTTAGGTATTTCACCCGTTGTGGACGTTGCATCAGGTATGAGGTACAAAGTGGGTGTTATTAATCCGTTGAGTAATATTGCACCTAAAAATACTGTTTTCCGACATTTCCATTTATCAGTAACGAAGCCGGTGAGTGGTTTGACTACTACATTTAATAGCATAAAAATCGTTATGATGTCACCAACAATTGATGAAGAATAGCCTCGTTGTTTTGCAATAGTCGACAAAAACGGGGTGATAGGAGAATTACCTAGAAATATTCAAGTGTATAGTACTAAAACTTTATTATACCATCTGCAATTTTGTTATTAATTTAACTTTCGAAGAATGATAAAATAAATACAGTAGTAGTCAAAATTACAAGACCCTCCTAAATATTATAATTCACGCGTTTAGATTTTGGGTTTGTGAGCAATTGTAAACGTTTAAATCATCAAGTAATTGCATGAAACTTTTTTCTTTATATAATGTGTTCATAAAATTAAAAAGATCGCTTATTTTGCATTAGTTTCATTTGCAACTTAATATTTACTTACGTTTTTGTTAAAAATATTATTTTTGCAAATACAGCAAATTTCAGTCATTAAATCATTATAAAGGCTTTTTAAAAAAATTTCATTAACATTTATCAGCGTAATATATTTTTTATACATGTCTATTTATTTATTATATTAGGTTACGGGATGTATCCCTTTTTTGACAAGCATGTTATGTTTACATAATTAATTTTAACTGATTTTGAGAATGACACAAAAAACAAACAAAAAAAATATATATATATAAAAAAAAAAACGGTAGCACAGTGAGGTTGCGGCATAGTGGAGACATTGCATAGTAGGGTCCAGTATAGATTTAATCTGACAGTGATTAAAATCACTATCATAAGAAACGCTTCGATGCAAATCTGTAGATAGTGTTTAATTTTAAAAAATTGATGGATAATTGCAAAAGCAACATCAACTTCTATTAAAATAAAATACAAAACCCATAATTATCATACAAAAATAGTATATTTTTCAATATGGTAGCCATTTGCGTATAGAAGATAGATCGTCGGGACAAATTTTTTTTTT